CCAGAGCTTCGTGTTGGTTTGTGTCAGTGTTCCATCCCCTGGGTTTCCCCATTGAGGGCTCAGAATGGAGGTCTGCACATGCGGTGCGTGACAACAGACAGGACACGGGCACCGAGCCTGAGGATCTATCATTCTTTGTCTTGAGGGCAATATTACCTCATCTCTCAATGTTGCTCATTGCAAATGCAATCCTGAAAAATGGCCTGGGTAAAAGTGGTGGAGGTCCTGCATTATTGGTACCCCCTGCAAGAATGGGTGGGACACTCAGGACCCAAGGTGGGCTGGCCTTTCCCAGTAACAAGTATGTCTGCTGACTTAGCCTCTCAAACTGGGCCAATGATGCCAGCTATTTTATAGATATTGTGAGGACCTTCAAATATACTTTAATTTGTTAAATGAATGGTCATATTTAAGATATGTATGTAGTGTAACAGTGACGCATTCCATACTTAATTGACATGTACCATTACTAAGTGAAGAGCTATGGAATTAACAAAAACTCATTCTGGTCTTACAGTAAAATAAGCAAGATGATCAGGATTTTTTAAGATTAAAAAAATGTAGGTGAATAATTTAGGATGTGGGAGAAAGCACAGTCAAGGATAGTTCCAAGGGTGTATGACTGAGCAACCAGGTGAGAGAAGGCAATGTTTAATTTAATACCAGGGGAGTATTGGGTTTGAAGGGTGGGGAGCCAGGTGTTCGGTTTTGGACATGTACTTTTTGGACATGAATATTTGCCTGTTAGACATCTAAGTGGAAATATTGACTAGGCAATTATATATATAGGTCTAGAATTTAAGGGAGAAGCCATCTCCTCACTGGGAGATAGAAATTTGAGACTCATTGGTATATACATGGTTTGTAAAGCATGAGTCTGGAAGAAACCATTCAGGAGTGAGCATAGAAGGAATACAGAAAAGGAGGCCTATCGATATTGAGAAGTAAAGAAAATGTTCAGGAACTGGCCTAGGAGAATGAAAAAGGTGGATAGTACAGTGGGGGGAAGATCAAGAGGCGCTCCTCTAGAAGTCAGGTGAAGAAAGTATTCAGGAAGGAGAAGGTTCTGGCAACTGTGACGTGGGGGGGGCACACGGTCAGGTGAGATGGGACCAGAGAATGGACTATTGGATGCAGCAAGGCTGTGATGAGTGGACATCTTCACAAGAGCACTGGGGTTAAGATGGTGAGGAAACTCCAATCAATTGGATTCCAGAGAGAAGGATAAAGAGAGATTGGAGACAGGAGACATAAGGCAAGTCTGTTGAGATCTGGGAGAGGAAATGGGTAGTAGCTAGAGGGGACCGTGTGGGCTTTGGTTTGTAGTTTTCAAAGGTAGGAGCCACAGTAGAATGCCTGAATGCCTGAATGCCAGAAACACTGATGGCACAGGAAAGGGAAAGACTTAGTTTAGAGGAAGAGATATCTGTGTGATGGCCAGATTCTAGGGAATGTGGTAAAGCTTGGAAAGAAAGATACACAAAGGCCTGGAGACTGTGGGGTGAAGAGTGTGAGCACCATGTGAACACCTTTATGGTTCTTGCCCACTTATCCCATTCAAAAATAAATACTGTGTGTGCAACTGGGTTTATAATCTCTGTGATCAAGTTTGTAATGTGAGCACAACCTTACAGAGCGTATGGGATACACATAGCAATGATGGCGACATTTTTTAATAAGAGAGTTTCCTCAAGTTGTTCTGGAAATTGTCTGCTAAATCAGCAAAGAAATATAAGATAGTTCTTCCCCCACCTCCTTTTTTTTTGGGAAAATTTAATTAAAAACAAACAAACAAACAAATTATTTTCTTCCAAAAGCGTAAACCAAAATGATGCTCATTACTTAATCAGACAGATTTTTTTTGTGACACGTTACTGGGAGCAGAAGCAGGCAGAGCAGGTGGAAACAGGGGTGGCACTGGGTGGAAAACCAAGCTCACCTCGCTGTCCTTCTGTTCACACCTGCCGTTCAGTACTCCCTTCGAAGCATTGGGTCTGGCCCTGCGGTGTTGTGTTCATTGTGCCAAAGCCAAATGAAGGGGCGGACATTTAGCTTGTGCTTCGCAGATATATTTTTCAGTGGTTTGATGGAAAACCAAAGGGTTTCTTTATATTTTTGTTTAACCTACACGGATGGTAACAAGCTGATCAGGTTGCTTCCCAAGTGACCTAACTTAGACATTTTCCAATGTGGTGAAATAATGCGCCTTCCCAAGGGTGAGTGGTTGTGGTTGTCATTTTCGCCCTTTGTTTCTCCCAGCCAAAGACCCAGGGCTCCTAGAATAGAGCATCCAGCTTGGGGAACTTAATATGATATACGCAGACACCATGTACTCTGCCTCCAAAATAGATGGATCGAGGAAGGAAGGAAGAAGGGAAGGAGAGGAACCTGTCAGATAGTTCCTGTTGACATGCCATCTGCAGATACTCTAAGGAGCCAATAGGAGACTCCTAAAGGAGCTGGTTAAGACCAGGTTGTTAAGAGATCGTGCCAGTGACCCATTGCATATAACCCATATATTTTATTAATTATAAGCTAAAATAGGTAGTGTTTTTAGAAACTGGATTCGCCCTAGGTGCCAGGCCACACTTGCTTTTTGTAGTTGATCTGTTTTGTTTTATTTGTGGTGGTACATTACTTTCTAGATTATCTGTCCAGTGGAAGGGGTCCACATGTGGGTTGGGGCCCGTGTCCCGTCTTCATTTTTATGTCCCGTCTTCATTTTTATGTCCCATATTTACAATGACTCAGTGTATTTACAATGCTTATGTTTTTACTAAATGGATACTGATAGAAAAAGAAGCATGCAAAACAACAGCTAGCATCCTTAGAACACATATAGTTTCTACATGACACTGATTTTGTTGATTTTTTTTTCCTGGAGTGATTATTAAATCAGTGTCTTCATGGAGTCTCGAATTCAATGGAATCACCTATCTCTTGAAACCACATGTTAACACCTACTTTCATTTGCTTAAGTTAAAAATTACCAAATACGGGTTGATTGGAAAACTGTGTATTACTTCTTATATTATTTCAAAGTGACAGACTGAAATGCAAATAGAACATACTGTGTGTCTTATCCCAAATTTGGTCAAAATCAGTTCACACTCCAGAAATTTAAAGTTAAACTTAAAAATTCCCGAAGCTGGATTGATAGAACACAGTGGATACCCTCTTTTAAAAAGTGTGTGTGTGTGTGTGTGTGTGTGTGTGTGCGCACGCGTGCTTGTGTGTGTCACAGTTTATATTATCAAAAACATTCTCAAAGACATGCAGAAAGACGAGACAAAATCAAATGCATGGCAGGGAGTATATGTCAATATGTCTACCCATCCCCCCAAAACCCAATTGCCCCCCAGGCATGTGTTCCCCTTACCAAGAAGGACCAGCCATCTGCCTACCATGCAGCAGCCTTGGGGATCTTCCTTGACCCCACATTCTCACCACCTCCTTACCTGGCCTGTTTCAGAGCCAGTGTCTCATAATTTTAAGCCTATTAGCTGATTGTTTGTTTTGATGTCTGTAAGTTCCTCATCATTCTTCTTTTTCTATATTTTCCTGGTTACCTGTACTCTTCCAGACTAATTTAGAACTAACCTCTCAAGTTCCGTTAATAAAAATACTTTGGAATAGGTTACCAGAATTTTAATACATGTACTGAGATAAAATTGTCAGCATCCTATGGCTATGTAATCCCATCTAGGAACTGTGTCTTTTTAAAACTCAAATCTTTTGAATATTATTTTATTAATTTTTATAGTTATTTTTATAAAGGTTTTGTGCATTTCCTGATGGGATTATATAGTTTGTATGTATGTATATAGAGAGTATATATTTTTGGTATCTATAGAGACTTTTAGTATATATTTTATATGTGATTATATCCTATGTATATATATTAGTGTGTGCTAGTATATAATAACATATATATAGCATATAATAACATATATACACACACATATGTTCTCTCATGTAAGTATTCTGTTTCTTTTCCTAAATTAGGATATGGGATAGATTTGTGTCTGTTGAGTTTATGTCTAGTCACTAGTAAACTTTCTTGGTATTTTTTAATGAAAAAAGATTATCTTAGATATTTTAGGACAAAAGCTAGATCATTCAAGAGCAGCAAAAATCTTGTTATTTCATTTTTTATTATCTCTACTTCTACCTGTTTGTCTCTTATTAAATTGACTGGGACATGCAGAACTGTGTCAAATAGCAGATAAGGAGTATCCTTGTGTTATTTCTAGTTCTAATGGAAAGGCTTTTAATGTTTAATGATTAAGTCAGATGTTCACTAAAGATTTCTGGCAGATGTATTTTTTTTTAATCGTGTTAGGGATATTTTCTTTCTCTTCTTAGATTACCAAATAGCTTATGGTTCTGTCCATTTTTCAAGTTCACAAACATGTCCAACCCCTTCTGTACCCATTCTCACTGCTGATTCTTTGTTCATGTTTGGTCCTGCTACCATACGATTCCAACGTCCTTTAAGACTGTTATCCAGTGTTCCCCCTCTAGGAAGCCCTCCCAGATGGGCTTCCTGTGTATCTCTCATTCTCCTTTTTGCCTGCTTTGTAATTGTTTTTGGTATATCCTTTTCCCCATAAAATTACAGAGTCCTAGAACTGAGTGCCTTAACTGTTTATCTTTGTGTCCCAAATGCCCAAGACCCTAATGTGTATACAGTGGAAATACAATTAAAATGGTTTTAAGAAAATAATGAATATAAGAATTACTGAAAAATTTTCTATGGATATCACAAGTAGGTAATTCCTCTGACTTGGATAATAACTTTATTATTTCTTGGAATTTCTTTCTTTCTCTTAGAATTACTTACTTAGAGTTTGTTTGCAATGTCTTGAACTTTGTCCATTGTTTTGTTTCTAGTAGAGGAGGATACCTTTTATTGGTTATTGAAGCTTAGAAGAATAAAAGCTATTCTTGAATTTTTAACTTAATTTTATAAGAAGATACACTTTGTTTTTCCTGTGTAGGGAATTACTATCCGACCACTGGTGGAATTTCTAGATGTTAAGAGGTCCAATAAGAAACAGCAAGCGGTCAGTGAAGAAATCCATTGCCGGGTAAGTGTTAATGTAGTATAATGATTTAAATGGCAAGAGAAAAAATTGTTGGATTCAGTTGGCCACTTGATATTAAGGTGCTCATTTCCTGAAGGAGAGGGAAATGGCAGAGAATAAAAGGGAAGGAGGGTCAAGAAAGGCATGCATTGGGGGTATCGATTGAGCACAACCCTCAGTGGCTTCTCCAAATGAGCCTGCTAGACCCTTGGGAATCTGGGCACAAGAGATCCCTCATTACTTCCTTCAACCAGAAAATGTTTCTGCTGGAAAATTATCACCGCATTTCATATTTTCCAAAATTATGAGCAAACTGTTATGAAGAGAAAACTAACCTGAGAATTGCCTAATATCGATATAACAAACAACACTTTGTTTAGAGATGAATATTGTTTCATGACTTTCAGTAAAAAGAAAACAAAACAACAACCCAACAGCAACAACAACAACAAAAAAAACGAAAAACGATCAGGGTCTTCAGAGTTTAGAAGTGATAGAAGTAGAGTGGAAATTAGTGATTTCCGGTAAAAATTAATGAAGACCCTGCTTTTTCTGTTTTAGTTTTTCGATCATGTGAAGACTGGGATTGAAGATGTTTGTGGACATTGGGGTCACAACTTTTGGAGAGACAAGTAAGAGGGTCTTACACCATTATATTCTGAGGTGGCGCTGGCTCACTCTGGAAGCAGGACTTACTGACCTGTGTTATTTTTCGGAGTTGCGAATCTTTCCTGTGCTGGGCCATCCTCTATCCTTTAAGATAAAGTTCAACAACCACAGAGACCTGGAACAAGCTAGAAACTTATTTTTCTCTTCTGTCAAAAGCCAGAGCTCTGTAGGCAATGTAGGTGTGTTCATAGGTTAGCTCTGCTCCACAGGCTGCCATGGTCCCAGGACCCTTCTTTCTAGGTGAATCGCCTAACAACTTCCATTTCCAAGGTTGCCTCTTAGACCAGAATGGCTGCTCGGCATTAGTCATCATGCACACATTCCAGGCTGCGTGTAGGAAGAAAGATAATGAAGAGACAAAGAATATGTACCAGCTTCCTCTGAAATGAAGTTATCAGAAGCTTTCACAGAATTCTTCCAGATACATACACGGCCTGGCCCTGTAGGGCCAGGACTCCATCATGTAGGCAATTCTCACTGCAAAGGAGGCTGAGGAATGTAGTCTATTTGGTTAAAAACTGTGAGTTCTGTTACTGTTTGTTCTCCCACACTTGTTGAGGGGCTTTGTCAAATGCAGAGCTTCAGAGCACCAGAGGTTATAAATAGAATAACAAGTATTTTACAAATAGATGTTAAATACATATAACCAAAATTTTTAGATATACACTTACATGAAAGATTATGTGCACTTATATAAATGTGTCTGTCTCTATCCGCTTTTTTGTTTGTTTGGTTTTGCTTAGTTTGGTTTTGGTTTTTTAACCTTTAAATGCTCTGTGTTGGATAAATAAGGTTCAGTGCTTCTCTTTGAGGATCTTAGAGTAGAAATGGACAAGTTACACTAGCCAGGCAGAATTAGGTACACGCTTTCATATAAACTGAAAAATAGACTTATGGGATCAAGCAGTAAGAATTAGTTGTGACAACAGGGCTGGGGACCACAGGGTACAGGAGCCAGCCCACCTGACCACCAGGAGCTGACTGTGTGCCTTCTGTGCCATTCACACAGGTAGGTTGAGTCAGCCGTGGCAGCAGTGTGCATGGAACTGACACATGCTATTAATCAGGGTCTTTTTTTTAGGATTTTTTAATAAAACAATTTGTTAACATTTGTCAGTGCATCACTGGTTAGGAAAGCCTTTTGAAAGAGACAGATGGACAGATTTAAATTATACTTTGGTAGATTCGTTTTCTTGCCCTTGCTTTCCTAACTTGCTACTAAGTTCCCTCCCTCCCCCTGCTCATTTACATGAAGTTGACCAACATACCCATGTATGCAGTTTAACAGCAGGGAGTCTTCAAGTGCTTACTGTTTGTTCACATGTCCTGACATGATATTGGATTACACGAGAAATATAAACCATGAACTCAGAACTTTAAAATTTTACAATAAAGTAGAAGTAACAAAACAGTCACACAGCAGACAGGTGTGTGTATGTGTGTGTGTGTGAGATCATTAAGTGATAAAATGAGTTACAGAGACTTTAAGTGCTAGAGCAACATTTATAAACCTGTCCACACTTTTCTACTAATGTAGAAAAGCTCCTTGGACCTAGCCTTACTTTATAAGTAAAGAAAATAATATTTTATTTGTACAAGGAGATTGCCCAGTTAGGCACATAGGAGCACAAAGTAATAAAGCAAACTAAAATCTTCATTGTGAAAATGGGGGTGGGAAATGGCCATTTATTTTGGGCAGGACTTACATTCTTTTTTTTTTTTAAATTTTTTTAATGTTTTATTTATTTCTGAGAGAGAAAGAGAGAGACAGAGTGAGCAGGGGAGGGTCAGAGAGAGAGGGAGACACAGAATCTGAAACAGGCTCCAGACTCTGAGCTAGCTGTCATCACAGAGCCCGACGCAGGGCTCGAACCCATGAACCATAAGATTATGACCTGAGGCGAAGTCGGACTCTTAACTGACTGAGCCACCCAGGCACCCTGGGCCAGATTTACATTCTTGCAGGCAGGAGGTAGATGGGAGAACAGAGAGCCTCACCCATTTCTGTTGTGACTTTCTAGGCTACCCTGCTTTGCGTCCCTGGAAACTTATTAACGAAGAAGGATCCTTGTCTTTGCCAAACCAGCGATAAAGACTTTCCTGCCTTAGTCTCTAACTCTTGTTTTCTCAGCCCGGCCCATTTTCCACCTGCATCCTCCCTTTCCACCTGACCACTTTTCTCCCTTCTCTAGCATCCCACCCTTCCTTGGAGGGACCAGAGAGCATAGTAGCCCACAACAGTTGGCTCCTTTCCAAAGGAGAGATTAAGTTAAAGATTTATACCATTCCTCTGCCTCCCAAACAGGGGGAAGTAGACATGAGTAGATGTAGGCATCAGGTCAGCAGCCTCTGGGGTGGTGGTGGCAGGAATTGGCGGACCCTGTGATCATGTGGATCTGGTCTGGAACGTCAGAGAAAAGTCTGGCTACGTCCTGTCTTGCAGGCAGAGACATTCTGTCTCTGGGGTACGTGCTGCTTCGGGCCGAAACCTACATACGCCAGGGTAATTGGACCACACATACTAAAGAGGGCAGAGCCAACTCTGATTTCCTGTCTGGAAGGTAATACTGCTGTGTGTCCCACAGTTTTCTCCGCAGTGTACATACTTCCTTTCACCCCTGTATATTTCCATGCCCGATATTCTCTAGGTAGATTTCAAATACTTCTCTGGATTGTCAAGTACACCATATACCGCAGGTAGAGCAGGGAAACGTGTATGGGTATGGAGGAATTTGGTGCTGACGCAGGCCATCTTTAAAATTAGCACTCCTCAGATCCTATCTCTGGTATGTGTGTGATTGTTGATGTTAAAGATCACATATAAAGAAGTGGATTGTTTTAGGTATGTGGGGTATCTTTCCATTTTGTCTGGAATCCTTCTGCTGTAAATTTCTAGGGGTCTTGCCAGAGAATTCGTGAGGCATTTGATGCTTTGAGAAAGGGTAAGCATAATCCTCTGAGTAGGGAAGTTTCTCAGACTCCATGAAAGTTGTCTAATGATGGGGAAAGGAAGAAAGCACCCAGGTGGTGCTTGGCAGAGAAATGAAAGGTATGGAAATAAAAGAAAGTACACAGCTCGTATGCTAAACAGATCAGATGTCATTGCTCTTGATGTTAATTCTTCCTTTTGTTGATCTCTAGTGAAAAGCCAAAGCAATAATAAAAATAACAAAAGATGTGTTGCTGTGGGGCACCTGGGTGGCTTAGGTTGAGTCCGACTCTTGATTTAGGCTTAGCTCCTGATCTCACAGTTTGTGAGATCGAGCCCCACATTGGGCTCTGCGCTAACAACACAGAGCCTGTGTGGGATTCTCTCTCTCTGCCCCTCCCCTGCTTGCTCTCTCTCTCTCTCAAAATAAATAAATGGTAAAAAAAAAAAAAAACCACCCAAAATATAAAAAGATGCATTGCTGATGCCAGGAGTCTTGGCCAATGGGTCTAATGTGAAGTTGAGAATAAGCTTAGAAAAAAGTTAGCCCTGTGTTTAGTGTAGTGGCCCCAGTGGAAAGGATGGCTCTCTTTCATTATTCATAGCCTTCCAGTAGAGAACAAAGGACTAGTGCCAAGAATGTGGTTTCACATTGTTTCCATTCATAGGACAGGTGTACGTATAAACCTCTTTGGACTTCTGGTGATCACTGTAATGCGTTTCTTTCTTTCCCAAAGTATGTCTATTGAGTGCTGTTTTGCTTACCTGTTGGCATAATAATGTTACATAACCAACTGCCCCGATCCTCAGCTGCTCAAACAACAGTCATGTTATTAAAGCATATGAGTCATGAGTCTGAGAGTCCAGGATCTGAGCTGCGCTGGGCTGATGTGGACAGGTCTTGCTCTTGCTTCAGGGGCTTGGCTCGCTGTCAACTGATCCCACTGGCCTTCTTGGATGTGACTGGGGTGATAGAGCTCTACTTCATGTGGTATTCACCTTTGTCCTGGGACTAGTGAGCCCCTTCATGCATATCCTTCTCATGGTAATTTTGGAAACAAAAGAGGTAAGCTTCAATAGTCAAGTGCCAAGTGCAAGCCAACAAGTCTGTTTTAAGCCTCTGCCCCAATCTTCATGTTTGCTAGAGCCCACTGACCAGAGAAAGTAACATTATTGAAGCCAGTGGCAGGAAACAGGACAGCACAGGTCACCTAGGCCATGGTGGAAAGACATTGCCAAGTAATAGGGCAGAGGGTGTAGATGCAGGGAGGAATTGAGACAAATGATCTGTTCTACCATCTGTGCTTCTAGTGTGCGAGGCACTGTCCTAGGCGCTGGTGATACAGGAAAAAGTCGGGGGAAAAGCCCAAAAAACAAAAAGTCTCTGCCCATATATACCATTCTAGTGCTAGAGTACAGAAAGCAAGATAAATAAATTATAAAGCATGTTAGAAAATGGTAAGTGGTATGGAGAAAACTATCTGGGAAGTAGAATGGGAAGTTAGGCAGGTGGGAAGGAGATGGCATGCATTTCTAATGGGATGGATGGGAAAGCCTCTTTGAAAAATGGCTCTTAAGGAAACACTTAAAAGGGGGTCTGCAACTGTGGGGGAAGGGTGTTCCTGTTGGAGGGAATAGTGGGTGTAAAGCCCCACAGGTGGGAGTGGAGCTGGCAAGTTTCCAGAGCAGGAAGGATACCAGTGAGGCTGGATGTGAGAAGCACAGTGCTAAGAGGTGCAGCTCCAAACTGTGGAGGGCCCCCAGGTCATTGTACATTTACTCAAGAGAAATGCAGGGTTGTCATATGGTTTGACTGATGTTTTATCAGCTTCACTCTGGCTCCTGTGTGGAGGGTAGTCTGTAGGAATGTGGTGGCGGAAGCAGGGAGACCAGTTGGGTGCCTGTTGCAAGAATCCATTGAGAGATGATGATGTCTTGCATTAGGGTGGATCCAGGTGATAGGAGTGTCGAAGTGGTGAGGCATGGCTGGATTGTGTATGTGTTCTGATGGTGGAACTAACAGAAATTGCCAAGAGTAGACATGGAGTATTCGTTTGCTAGAGTCGCTTAACAGAGTACCACGGATTGTGTGGTTTGAACAATAGAAATTTAGTTTCTCACAGTTCTGGAGGCTAGAAGTCCAAGATCAAAGTTATCAGTCATTTGGATCTTTCTGAGGGCCACAAGGGAAGCATCTGTTACAGGCCCCTCTCCTTGGCATGTAGATGGCCTTCTTCCTGCCTCTTTACATGGTCTTCCCACTGTATGTGTCTGTGCCCAACCTTCCTCTTACTATGGAGATACCTGTCATATTGGATTGAGACCTGCCCTAATGACCTCATTTTAACTTAATCACTACTGTAAAGACCCTATCACCAAATACAGTCACATTCCCAGGTACTGGGAGTGAGAACCTCAACCTGTGCACTTTGGGGGGCACACAGTTCAGTCCATAACATGGAATGTGAGAGAAGGAAAAGAATCAAAGGTGACCGGGTGGAGTGATCATTAACTGAAACGGCGAGGACTGTAGGAGAAGATGCGTTCAGTTTGGGAATGTCAAGTTTGAGAACTAGATATCTAAGTGGAGATGTTGACTAGGCGGCCGGATATTCATTTCTGGGTTTGGGGGGCGAGGCTGGAGCAAGAGACACAAATGTGGGAGTCACTGGCACAGAGATGCTATTAAAATCATGAGACTGGGCAAGATGGCTACAGAGCCAGTGGAGGTAGAGAGGACCAAGATGGAACGCTGGGCACTCCTACATCAAGAGGCCAGAAAGAAGAAAAAGACCCAACAAAAGAGACTGAGAAAGAAGTAGGGGGGGGAGCCCAGGGGAGTGTGACATCCTGGAAAATGACATATTAAGTGGGAGAGGTCAGGAAAGGTGAGGGCTAATAACTGGCCATTGGATTTATATCGTAGGGTCACTGATGCCCTCAGTACAAGTAGCTTCAATGGAGTGCTGGGGACAAAAGCCTAATTTGTGAATGTGCAAGAGAAAATCTGAGGAAAGGAACTGGAGATAGGAAGTATTAACAACACTTTTGAGTAATATTGTTGAAAAACGAAGCAGCGTAATAGCAAATGTTAAACATATACATATGTTACTCTGTAATTAGTAAATATTAGATATATGTATATCATGGCTATGTACGATAGTACCACTGATGTACACACACACACACACACACATCTATACACACATATATTCAGGTCTACACATACAAAAATATATGTAATGATCAGATGAGCTAAACATTGCTACTAAATTTCTCCCCAAGTATAGTAGAAATGATTTTCTTGATAAAAGCAGACTTATTGTTGTTGTTATTATTTTTTTTTTTTTTGGTCAGTTTAGTATTAACTAATTGAAGCTCTGATTTTCTTTATTTCCAGGTTTAAGAAGTTCGATGACAAATACCTACGGAAGCTTCTGATTCGGGAAAACCAACCCAAGTCAAGCATTGTGTCTTTATATAAAAAGCTTGAAATAAAACATGCCATTGAGATGGCAGAGACGGGAATGATAAGCACTGTGCCTTCTTTTGCGTCTCTGAAGTAAGTACCATTTTACCAATAAATGTGAGTATTCCCGTGTATGTCTTTATCGTTTTTTGAAACCAGTGATAATAACACATTTGACCTATGTCCTAGAGCTTGCAGAAGAATGAGATCCTGGTTAAAATGTGAGGTCTAGAAACATGTGCCTTATGTCACATCATGTCAAGTTATTTTGGAATTGACTAGTTAGAAAATACTTTGTCATGTTTAGGATGGTCATGCCTTGATTGTATTTTCTTGAGGTAATTCAGTGCTTTTTAAAAGCGCCTCTTTAGCAAGTCTTTTGAAATGGAATATCTTGAAGTGTGTTATAAATATGCAGGTGTATATAGCTATTTCCTCATAGATTATTCATGCATCATAGTTTAAGGCTTACAAGAAACAGTGATATGACGGAACATACGGTATGAGGGCTCTCAATCCAGGCTGCACACTAAAAATATCTTAGGGGCATTTAAATAATACAGATGCCTGCGTCTCACCTATACCAGTAAACCCAGGATCTGTGGTGTTAAGGCCCAGGTAGAGGTATTTTCCTCATTAAAAATGACTCTCAGAATGGGAGAGTGACTTACCCAAAATGTTACAGCAAGCCGATAGCAGTATAGTAAATGAGTGCTCAGTTAACAAAAGAGGTCATGTTATCATGTAAACATCGGTCCTTCCCTACCTCAAAAACAACAGAAATTACAGGTTCTGCTGATTGCTTCTTTCACCAATGAGCTTGAAGTGCATTTAAAGAACATGTAACCTAATTAAAATGTTATCAATGGGAGAGTTGAAACAAGACAAGGAAACTCCCAAGTCCTACCCAACCATATTGACTAGGATTTTTACTAAGACTGTATGTACCCTATTAAAACTATGGAAGTTTACACAATCCAAAATAAAAAGAAATAGTGGTTCAAGGATGGCTTGGAGGTAAAGGCATATTGCACTAGCTAGCAACAGTTGTGGATTGAGCAGTGACTGATTCATAGTCCTCCACTGCAATAACTCACTATGTGACCTTAAGCTGGTCCATCTATTTCCCTGAGATTGAGTTTCTTCAAGTAGAAAATACGGCTACACTTGATCTTTGTTTCCCTCTAGCTTTACAAATTAATGATCTTTCTTACTCACCATTCCATTCGTAGTTGTAGCAACGGAGAATTCAGTTATTCAGCTTCACAAAGGAGAGCCATTCGTTATCTTTGTGATCACTAAGAAATCTTATTTTCATCTTAGTTTCACTCTCTGTGTATAGTTCATTTGGAAGCAGGCAGTAAGTAGAGGAAAGGCAAAGGTTTAAGGTTATTGAAGTAGATAACAGAATTAATGGTCGGCTGCATGGCTGCACAAATGAGTACCATATTGACCATTCCACATCTCCTGAAACATTTTCTCTAGAGAGAATGAAAAGCATAAAGGGAGGTAACAAGGAATTGTATTTATGACATTAATGGACTCAGTGTTGTAGACCAAACCATCCTATGAAAAGAATTAGAAAATATAGGACAAAATATATTTTTAAAACCTGATGAAAAGCTGGAAAGCACCAGTGCAAAGAAGAATTTCTTGGCCAAGAGCCAACAGAAAAGGGAAGTCCAAGAAGATGGAACTGGCATTTGGTGCCATTTTCCCCGCCTGGATCACAGAGAAGTTATCTGAGAGTCTCAAAAGGCTGAAACAGAATACAACTGGAATTCAGTACCTACTAAGAAGGAGGAGTTCTTATACCCAGCTATAGGCTATTACTTTAAAATTCTACCCCCTAACCCTTACTTTAATGTTGAAATGTTGAAAGATTTACCCCAAGATCAAGAACAAGGATGCCTATTACTACTACTATTTCTATGAATGTTGTACCAATGCTAGACAAGACAAAAATTTTAAAGTTAAGGATTGGAAAAGAAGTAGAACTGTCACTATTCCCAAACAGCTGGATTGTTTTCAGAGAAAATCCAAAGGAACCTACAGATAACTAATTAGACATAATAAGTTAATTTACCTAGGTTTCTTAATAGATGGCAAAAAAAAAAAAAAAACTGGTGGTTTAAGTATCAACAAGTAGAAGATGACACTTTAAAAAATGCTTCATTTAGAATGGTATCATGAAATATTCGTATACATCAATGTCAAACATCAAGATGAACTTTAGGGAATATGTGTGAAACCTCTCTGCAGAAAGTCCAAAACAGATAAAGACTGTATTAATAAAAAGAAAAACTCAATCTTATAAGATTATTGGCTCTTCTTAAATTGATCTATGGATTCAAAGCAATTCCACTCAAAATCCCAGTGTGTCATTAGACAATCTGGTCCTAAAATTTCTATGGAAATATAAAGGGCCTAAATTAACCAAGACAAAATTGTCTTCAAAATGGAAGGACAAATCTGAAAGATTTACACTACTAGGTAGAAAGACTTACTGTAAGTCTCCTATGATTGAGACCATGTGGTACTGGATAAGGATAAAAGAACAAATAGACCAGTGGAACAAAGCAAAAGTTTGGAATAGACCCACATATATATGGATACTTCTTAATGACAAAATTGATAGTAAAAAACAGTGAGGAAAAGATGGCCCTAAAAAAAGGGTCCTGGGTCAATTAGGTACCCATATGGAGATAAAATGAAATTGAATATTGTATCAATTGAACATTGCCTGAATCCAAGGAGTATGGTAGATCCCCATGTGGGTGGTGAAACAATAAAACTTTTGAAGATTATAGGGGAGAGTATCTTCTTACTGTTGGCATCAGAAAAGATTTCATTAAAGGAATGAAAAAGAAAACTATAAAATGGGAGAAGTATTTGCCTTACATAAAACTGACAAAGGTCTAAAAAAAAAAAGACAGTCCTGTAGAAAAATAGACAAGAGACTTGTTCAGGAAGTTTACAAAATTGGATATTCAAATGGTCAGTAATCATATGTGTTCCAATATATACATATTGGAATTTTCATAGAAGCACTGTTTGTTCTATCCAAAAGTTCAAAATAAGCCAAATACCCATCAATAGTAAAATGGATAGATTGTGATATATTCATGTAATGGGATATTGTACAGTGAATAAAATGAACAAATGATAGCTAAATGAAACAACACAGTTGAATCTCCAACATATAATGCTAAGCAAAAGAGGCTAAATTTAAAAGACTACTTATTGTAAAAAAAATAAATAAAATTTAAAAATAAAAAAACCCTACCTATTGTATTTAAAAGATTCCATGTATAGAGTTCAAATGCAAGCAAAACTATTCTATGAATTCCAAAGTTAGGATAGAGGTTGTTTTTGTCAAAGAGGGAAGGAAGTGGTGACTGTTGGGGGTATGGGATATGAAGTGGTTTCTGGGGTTCTAGGTCATGTTCTGTTTTTTGACATGAGTAGTGGTAGTGCAAGTATATTTGCTTTGTGATAATTCATTGAGCTATACATGTAAGACGTATGTACTTTTGTTTTTGTATTACATTCCAATAAATATACTTTAAGTATATAAACAAGGGAGGTTGTTGTGCAGGTATCACTAGGGTTATACAAACATGTGCCAGATAAAACTTGGTGGGAACATTGTACAAGAAAATCACACACACAAAAGATCGCTGCCTCTTGACTATTTGTCCTTCTCAAATGCTGTGAATTAACTTTGCTGATCAAAACTCCTGATTAGAAACTGGGACAGCTGTTTAACAGCAATGCTTCAGTCTAAGAAGACGCTTCTTAAAAACTCAGTTGCGCAATTGAGGTTGAGGCAAAAATGGATCACTTATATTTAGAGAAGTCTGTCGTGCAGAAGCCTTAAATTTCTGTGTCCATTCCTTGGCTTTTCTCCAGTACCACTGGACATAGACAATTAATATTATGGCTCATTTTCAGTTACAGCAAGTCTACATTTAAAAAAAAGAGAGAGAGAGAGAACTGTGCTCTTCAATTGGTGTGTCCTTAGCGCATCTTCTGTAAGACCTGGATTTATAGATATTAACCTTCTCAACTTTATTTCCTTAATTTATCTACTTAGCTATGTATTTAATTTTACTACATATTTTTGTAGGCCTTCTCAAAGCCGTTTTTGAAGGAGTTGGAATCAAACTGTACAAATACAGTTGGTTCTCATTGTTGGTGGTAGTTATGTTCTGTAAAATCGCCATCAACGCTGATTTGCCCACTTGCTCCTAGGGGAAATACGGGATTGGGGTCTTGTGAGCTTCCGGTCACAACATTTTCATCAGCTGATGATACATAACCTTGTTTTGTGTATGTTTCTATTTAAAGACACCTCATCACATATATATTACTCTTTCATTAACATTCTTCTCATGGCCAGCAGCATCGTACTCATGCTTGAGCAAAGCGTATCTAACATGACTTTTCTCTGGAAGGCACATCCCAACTTTCTTTTGTTTAGGAACATTAGACAGCACTTCAGACCCATGCTTGGGGGCCATTTTAAACAGCAAAGTCACCAGCAGCACAAAGGTGTGGAAAATGTGTCATTAAATAGACCATGGAAAGGACATTTGTTTACGGTACAAGACCTGAAACAAGAAGACAGAGAGTTGCCACATTCAGCCTTATCCGGGAGCCTGTGTGTTGGGGGACTCCTATTTTCCCCCACTTTACACATGTCTGTGAAAAAGTGCCAGGAGTACTGATACTGTGTTTACAAGTAAATTTTAGCAAGTAGGTCACTTTACAAATATGAAATCCATGAATAATTCTGATTATTATATGCATACATATTATAAAAGGTGTCTTTACAAATATTTCTAATCAAGTGCCTAAAAGATGAAGCCTTAATCATAAAATGTAGCTAATTAAGTTTCTGTTGGAAAAAACTCAACTGTGTATTACCTTATTTATGGGGTATTAGAAATAGTAAACTGAGACCATTATCATCTACTATAGTCTTTCTTCCTTAATAGTAATTGTGTGGAAAAAAAGAATAATTGCATGAACAGACTCTGAAAACTTGTGCACGATTAAACTTGTTTTGAATAATTTTGACACTGAATAGTTTTAGAATTTTGAGTTCTCTTCAAATAGTGAATAATCGCTAAATGTTATTCTTTAAGCTAAGAGTCTACTTAAATGATATTCTATCTCCAAAAAAAAATGATGATTCCAGTATTTGTTGAATTGTAAAATGCATTCTTTCTCTAACTTTTCACAGTGATTGTCGTGAAGAAAAAATAAGGAAGCTCACACCTGGTGAAATGGATGAAATCCGAGAAATATTATCCAGAAATCTCTATCAAATCCGACAGCGAGTAAGAATAATTTATTTAGCAAAATGTTTCCTTGCCTGTGGCTGAGAATATGCCTTCTGATTTCATGCTACCCAGTTGTAGCAGATATTGCCCTGCTACTATGCCAGCCTTTGGCAGGTCCCACACTAGGCAGCTTCTCTTTTCGGAGTTCTGTCTTGTTAGGGTACCACGCTTTCCCAGAAAACCATTGGGAAAGGTTTGGAGTCCCCTGAGAGTTCTGCTACTATGGACTTGGAGATAAAAGACTATATTTTAACTAATTGTGAAGAAAGTAATTGATGGCTCTCTTCTAATTTTTTTTGTCTTTTAGAGAGAGATTGAGAGTACGTGTCGGGGAGGGGCAGAGGGAGAAGGAGAGAGACACTCTTAAGCAGGCTCCACGCTCGGCGCGGAACCTGACATAGGGCTCGATTTCACAACCATGAGATCATGACTTGAGACCAAATCAAAAGTCAGATGCTTAGCCAACTGAGCCACCCACACAGGCATTCATTCTTTTAATGAAATAGCTTTATAGCTTGTAGAAAACGTATAGCTTTAAGAAAACTCACCAAAATGTATTTGATCTTCCTTGTTATTCATAAAGTGCGATCATTTCTTCCTTTAATGTATCTCCCGAGTCACTTCTTCCCCTGCTACCCCATTGTTAACACCTCATTCTAACAGTTGGCTAATAATATAGCTAACATTTTGAGAGTGCAGACAATTTGCCATGCCCCATTTCAGCATGTGTTAACTCAGTCCTTCAAGTGGTTACTGTTGTTTCCAGTTTGTAGATGAATAAATTGAGGTACAGTGAGGCGAGGCGGCACACCTATCACATCGCTTGTAAGGAGCCTTCCTCGCTCATGTTGGGGTCATTTCTTTACTTTTTTAGTGGGTCTCCCCAAAGGCTGTCCCCATTCCATCCTGCATTACTGTAGAATGCAGGATGAACCTTTTAAGCAGCATTCCCTTATTTAAAATGAACCAAAACAACAGTGGCGGCTTACAGGCTAAACTATTCTCTCAGACTTTGGGATCTCTAATTCCAAGTTCTATAGTGTCCGGCCTTCCATCTCCCTCCCCTCCCCAAGCCCCCAGGTTCTGTCTTCCTTCCTTGGACTCTGGTCCTCTCTTCTCTGTCTCCACTTGGAATGTCCCACTGGTTCCTGTCAACTGATCCACATCCTCCAGTGGTTAAGGACTCCTCCTCAACCACCTCCATATTATTCCCAGCCCTGTCTTTAAGTGGGGTAGCAGTATGAGCTTAGACCACACCACATAGTTTTAGCACTTAATTTCATGATTTCATATTATTTTGTTAGCCTTTGATGTCCAGCTAGCCAGTAAATTTCTCAAGGCAGGAATTGAGCCTTGTTCTCTATCAGTTTTGCATATTTCTTCAAGACTTAATATTTAATAGTTGGGGACACAGGATACTCCCAAGAGGTATATATTAATTCTACCAGAAAATGAATTCCATCACTAGTTACAGTTTATTTTAGGAAACTTAGAAAACTGACAATGTGTGCCATACGCAGCCCTGGTTTAGAAATTTCACTGCTTCAAGTACTAGCCCATGGTTATGGCTGGTGATAGCCCCAGTTTTTTAGTTTGACAACCCAGTTGTAAAGAAAACGTTGTAGAAACGTTCTTAAGTTAATCACAAGGACATGGCACCACCCAGTGGCTCAACGTGGTTTGCTTTTACACAAGGAATTCCTATTCAGTAGAGAATTTATAAAGATGAAATGTATGTTTTTATTCAGCTACTAGTGATGGCTAAAAACATAGAAAGTACTTTAAGGTGGACAGAGGCACTTGATGAGTTCCATCATTTTTCTGATTTATGAAGATCACACTTCTGAATGAAAAATAACCTATTCAAAGACTTTTATTAGAAAACAAATGCTTTCAAAACCTGAATGAATGTTAACTTTTTATGAACGTTAATAACTGACATACGTTTTATTTATTTTTCTGCTCTGAACCTTAGTTAAGTGCCTTGCCGAGGTGCAAAGCCAAAGAAACGCAGCAAAGTTTTGGAATTTCTGGAACAGCAATCAGGTTTTTTGTCTGTTTTGTTTATTTGTTTATTTTTTTTATTTTTTTGTAAATGTCTCTTTTTTCATTTCAGACTTTGTCCTACAACAGACACAACCTGACAGCTGACACAAGTGAGCGACAAGCCAAGGAAATTCTGATTCGCCGGAGGCACAGTTTGCGAGAAAGTCTCAGGAAAGACAACAGCTTGAACCGAGAGCGCAGGGTGACTGGCATTTGTTACCATTTGTCTGGGAGGAGGGAGGCTTCCAAGAGCAGAGAGCCAGCACCCATCTGGAGGCTCCGCTGACAGAATAGCTGCTGAGGGTTGATTCACAGGAATTCTGAGGTGGAGTTCATGGTAAAGTCTTCCTAGATATTTCTGGAACACCTGTTACGTTCCAGGCACTTTTCTAGCACTCGGAATATGTTGGTGAATGAAACCAACCAAGCAACATACCTCCACTTGTAGAATTCATATTCTAGTGAGGAGAAGGCAGCCAGCAATGGAATATATTATCTGTTATGTTGGAAGGCGGTGGGTGCTGTAGGGAAAAACAAACAAACAAACAAACAAAAAACCGATGCTGAGGAAGGAAATTGGGAGTATAGAAAGGGTCAGTAAAGTTACAAGTTTAAACAGCATGGCTGGACCAAGCTTCATTTGTAAAGTCTTAGCTGATCTCTCCAGGGAGAGGTTGCAGGTCAAAGATAGGCCAGTGTCGCATGCTGGAACTGCAGGGTCACAAGGGCCGGGGGAGGGACAGCAGGGAAAGGTGTTCACTTTTTCACTTGGTCGAGGGCATTGTCAATAGATAAGGAAACCCATTTTTATTTTATTTTTTTTTTAATTCTCACCCTGTCTTTTTTTTTTTTTTTAATTTTTTACAAATAGTTTATTGTCAAGTTGGTTTCCATATAACACCCAGTGCTCATCCCCACTTTTAAATGACATCATGATTAATTGATTTAACACAGCAGACATTGCAGCATACCACTGACACACGAGGTTGCATTAACTTTAGGATTGTATTTCATTTTTTAATAATATTCTGTAGTGGATAGTCAGACCCAGAATGGTAATGTGGAACAAGATAATTCTCTTTTTTTAATGTGTAAAATGTGGCAGCATCGATTAAAAGTTAAAGAAAGTAGAGATTTGAATTGTCAGCAAATTAGCTATAGAAATACTTCTTGTTCTATCATTTTCAAGACTTACTAAAGTAATTAAAAGTTAAATATGCTACACTTTTCATATATTTTCTCTCCATACATATAGGTTCTACATATTTTCTAAGTTTATTTATTTATTTTGAGAGAGAGAAAGAGGCAGTGCAAGTGGGGAAGGGAGAGAGAAAGAGAGAGCGAGAGAGAGAGAAAGAAAGAGAGAAAGAGAGAATGAGAATCTCAAGCAGGCTCCCGCTGTGGAGCCTGACACAGGGCAAGTCCCACAATCCTGGGATCATGACCTAAGCTGAAATCAAGAGTGAGACACTTAACCCACTGAGCCACCCAGGTGCCCTGTTTCTACATACTTTTTAGTAATAGCCTTATACATAGGTGTTTCCTTAGCTTTTCTTTAAAAAGACTCAATAGTTTGCATATCTTATTGTTAATGGTGCCACTTTATTTTCAGTTTCCCTTCATACTGATTTCTGTTACATTTTAGAAGACATTTGATTATTTTAAGTAAAATAATTATTGCTGGAAGTTTCTGTTACATTTTAGAAGACATTTGGTTATTTTAAGTAAAATAATTATTGCTGGAAGCTTTATTCCGTATGCCTGCGAAGTACTTTTGGAATAGAGAAGTACAATTTTAATTTTTAACACCAAAGTTTGACGGAAGCTTTTAAACTTCTAATATGCAATAAATGACATCTTTGTAATCTAAACATTTTCTATGTTTCTCACAGGCTTCCACTTCAGCTTCTCGATATTTATCCTTACCAAAGAATACAAAGCTTCCAGAAAAGCTACAAAAGAAAAAGAATATTTCTAATGCAGGTAATGAACTCAGTTGGAGCAGAGTCATTTCACAAAATAGAGAAATTTTCCCCTTCTTCTTTATCCAGGACAATCAGTTCAATGTTTTGCAAATCTCAGACAATAATATGGTGACTTATTCTTAGCGTTGTAAGCTTTTTGGATGGAGTTCTGTAGAGTTCTAAATAATTCCACCAGTTATTTTCCATAATGATTCTTGTTGATACAGCACAAGCAACTATCAACTATCGTCACCTGTGAACAGGTAAGTAGAAAGTTGTAAATATGCAAAGGAGCATTTACATTTTTACAATTTGCATACATTTTCATAAAGTCAGCCATAAGTTTTACTTCTGCCTGTACTCATGAAAACTTTGACATACAGTCTAATATCTCTTTATTTAAAGATAATCTTTAGGTTGACCCGAAGCCATTCTCTGTGAACCCCAGAAGAAATATGTTAGGGTACCATGTTATTAAAATGTGGGATGTAACACTACCACCCCCTTTATTTTTGCTTATCTATTTAATTAACCAAGAAGAGGAAAGTCTAATGATGGCCGCTCATAACGGTCAGTGAGAAGAGAAATGAGAAGAGAGGCCAAGCAGCACTGAATATTTAGAGCAGTGGTCCATGTCACTGCCATGTGACATGGTGGTCTCAAGAATCTTAGTTCCTGGGCAAGCTCCCCATCAACTGTTCTACCCATAGCCCTCTAGGATCTGAATTTTGACAACCAGCTCGTTCTGATCATGTGTCTTCCCATCGTTTGTAAAGGGCACATTTGTGTTTTGGCCCTTTACAAAACTGTAAAGGAGATAAAGAAGGTTGTCTCTGAGATTCCAGGTCACGACAAGAAATTTCATAGTAGCAGCTAAGTGCTGATGTGCTTTCTGTGTGCCCGACACTTAGCTGAGCCTTCCTGGGGTTGTTCCAATGGGGCAGGTGGGAACGTAGCTGCTGCTGCCAGAGTCGCACTGTGATACCCAGCGGCACTGATGATTAATACCTCTTGAAGCTCGGTTACTTCACCTGTCACATGGGTGCGTATGAGGATTCAGTAGGTGAGTGCATTTCAAAGTGCTTGGTTCGGTTGCCTGGCACACAGCAAGCCCTTCAGCATCGGTGTGGACATTCGACAGTAACACTCACAGAGAGGATATATCGTGCCCAGGTCTGGGGGCTAGAGGCAGTGAGCCCTCGGCCCTCCCCTGCCCAAACCCCAGGGCCTGAGGGCACCACAAGTGCTGGACCCACTGGTGCATTGCGGAGTCACTTCTCATTCCTTCTCTCTAAAATGCTTGCCCATGTTGTCCTTCTTTTGCTCTGTGGTAGGTGGCAACAGCAGTGACTCGGACACAGATGTTGGGACCACTGTCCTCAATCTGCAGCCCCGAGCAAGGCGCTTCCTGCCAGAACAGTTCTCAAAGAAAGCCCCGCAGCCCTACAAAATGGAATGGAAGAATGAGGTAGACGTTGATTCCGGACAGGGCCAGCCTTGTAACCCCCCGGCTCCCCACAGCAAAGACGGGGGCACCCAGACCCCAGGCATGCTACGGCAGCCCCTTCTCTCCAAAGGCCAGTTTGGTCCAGTGCGGGAAGACAGTATGACTGAAGGTGGCCACCCCAAGCCACCGCCCAGGCTAGTCCGAAGGGCGTCAGAACCTGGAAGCCGGAAAGGCCGATTTGGAAGTGAGAAGCCTTAATGGAAATGGCCAAAGCAGACCTGGAGTGACTGACCCAGCACAGCTAGGGTGTGTTACTCTGAAACCTGACACAGCAGTGGAATCCATTGAATACCCTCTATGCATCTAACGACTTCTTTGGGTAGCAGAGTCATGCCACTGACTTACAGGATGAAGGCTCATCCCAAGAAGAGGAAAATCAAAGAAGACAGTTCCATAAAATGCCTTTTGTGACTTCTTGCTAGCAGTTATATTCTTTGCAAGCCTCAAGAAAAAGAAAAAAAAAAAGTGTGCCTTTATTGAACTTGAATGACAGAACTTGAAATTTTTATCACACCCTTGTTGGTGAAAATTTTAATATATACATGTATGCCTCAAATTTTATTTATGAAAACATATCTATATCTGTAATCAGTTTTTAAATGAAGGGCGCTAAAAATACTCAACATCTTTGCGGGGGTGTCAAAGGCAACGCTCAGAGGATGATGGGCCGTCTGTTCAGAGTCAAAGTGTTTCCCCATCCTCAGCTGACCGACCAGTAGGTGAAGGAAAAGCACAGCATGGAGCAGGGGCACCTGGTGAACACAATCCGAACCTCTAGGCAGATGAGGTTGCTTCGCTCCCAGAGCGCGGATTCCTGTGATACAGTGAGTCAGCCAGATTTAATGTGTTCCTCATTCCGTATGTTCTGGGGTGATATATAGGTTCCCTCTCTCGTTGTGTTTGGTGCAAACAGAAAGGCTGGGTGGGTGACACAATGTATGACAGACTTGGCGGCAGCTTTTGATGAAGTTCCAGCGCGCAGGCCTCACGTTGCATGTGGGGAGACAAAGCAGCACCTGCTTAACCACTTGGTGGCAGGTTTTATATTGTGCAATACTGGGAAGAGGATACAGGAGATTCCCTTTCATGCCCATCCAGGACTACCTGCTTTAGAGTTTTCTGTAGAACGTTCCAGAACCTTGAATATAGGTCCAAGCCTCCAAGCAGTTTATTTAAACAGTTTTCCAATATTTAGCAAATTGGTGAGAATTCAGGTCTTGAAATTTATTCAGGAAGCACTTTGGGGAATGTAGTTCAATTTTTTTTTTTTGCACTCTTTTGTAATCTGTTACCTCTCGCCCCTCAATAAAGTAGTGACTCAAATTCTTCATATAAAAATGGATTCGCCTCATCTGAGTACTTTTTAAAAGTACAGCAGAAACACAAGAAGTAGAATATAATCATTAAAGATTAATATTTGAATTTCTGTCTCCTAAACTGTAGATTTTTATTGCCCTATCTTTTTTTTTTTTTTTTCCTGAAAAACTCCTTTTGAAAACTTGACTGGAATAAGACTCTAAACGTCCGGGTTTAGATACAAACGAGGCCACGCGTTTTGTCCCCTGGGTGCACGTTGGATACACAGCAGAGGACACAAGTGAGCACAGTATTGTTGGTCAGAAAACATGAATAAATTAAAGACTCAGCACTCCGAAGTCCCCAACAGCGCTTCTCCTATCCCCTTCCTTCTTCCCTACCTACATGGAGAAATAAATCTTCTCCTCTTTCTTGCATTTCTACAGTCTTGGAATACTGCTAGATTGCAGGGCGTGAGGCACACGAGGTACAAGTTCATCAAGAGCACTATTTCCTTCCCAAGCTTTTCCACGTTAACCAGCGGAAAAGTTACCACGTAAACCAGCAGCACAGCCACAATTTGGAAACTGTAGGCTGAGGACTCTGTGCCAAATATCTTAATTTTCAGTGAAAATATTTATATGAAAATGGATATATTTCATTTGCGGAAAAGAAATTAAAACTGACTTTTAGCTTAGAATTTTATTATAGGAATATGATTCATCAAGAGATGGGATGTATATTTTTGAGAATGCCAAGAATAAATTTTTAGGAATTAATGAGGTCTGAGAAAAAGAAAGGTTAACAAGGAAAATGACCTTAAAAATAAACTTCCTGATTCTTCTGGTGTCCGAGAATAATAAATATTGTAAGGAGTCTAATTTTCTAGAACCTAAGGAGAAAACATGGAAATTCTTGTTACATTTCTTCCTGTGAAGTAGGTAGACCAAGTTCAGCTAGCACTGATTAAAAGTCAATAAAGAATTTGGTTGACATTGTGTAAATTTCAAAAAAAAAAAGGACCACTTTTGTCATCTTAGCATCAATTTAAATTTTTTCTTATTTTTTGAATGACAAAAGCAACGACAAATAAATTTGACTTCATTTCGCTTTTTTTCTATACTTTTTTTTTCAAATAAAATTAAGTTCTAGACACCATAGGAGAGAACGTCAAACCTTTTAAATATCAAAATAGTCTACATTTTCTGTGGTACAGACACATCCCAGACCCTTTGTAAAGGATCCCCTAATTCAAGCAATACTTGATCCAACCAAAGTTCCAGTGTAACTATAGAATTTTGGTGGGTGTTTTTGGTGATTGTTGTAACAAATTTGACTTGAACTACCTGTAAGTGTAAGGTCAAGGCTTTATTTATTTAATGCTGAGGGCTGACTATTGGGAACAGTTAGTAAACAACTAGAGATTGGCTCCAAAGTTCGATACTTTTAAAAAACATGTGTTTTATGTATGAGCCCCCAGAATATCTAGGATGAAATTCCCTTTGCTTTTTTTAAGCTTTGTAGTGGGGGGAGGGGGTGCTTATTTATATAAAGAGCATAGAGAAGTAGTTATTTATTACATGTCTCAACCTGTTTTCCATTTGTTGTCCTGCCCAAATCATGTCTATGTTAGAACTGGCATTTTATAAACAAGTGTGAGAACTGTGATATTTTGTTAGCTCAAAGTTCACACTTGACTTTCTTCTCTGAAGAGTTAGTAAAGAGATTTCTTTGTGCAGTTGAAGTAGCTGTTGGCGTTATCTGCCAAAGCCTGAACATAGTATGTTGATTCCCTTTGTTAAGATGAACAAGATTTTGGTTCATGACTCAACCCTCTGATGATCTGAGATTTTGTGTGCGTGAATGTTTTTTTTGTTTTGGTTTTTGTTTTCTTTTAGAGCAAAACAAGAAGCTTGCTGGTACTTTTATCTCTGACATTTTAACCAGGCCCTTTCTTCAGTCCATTTGTAAGGCAGTTCAGAGCCCCATTTGGGTAACTGCTGCCTGCCAGTGACCACAGCTCTTTGTTCAAGAAAAATGACAGACCCCTTCAGAGTTTTTTTCCCATTTCATTCACTCTGCATGTGGCTGACACTCTCAAACATGGTCACCCACTGAAGCCGTGCAGATGAAGCACCCACGCGGTTAGTTTTGAAGGTCTTTAATTTTGCAATGGTACATGGCTTTTGGATCCCTTTTGTTTTCTAATTGTCTACATTTTTTCTCAAAGAAAATTCTATTTTACTACCTCTAAAAAGAGTCGATAAAATGTGGTCACTTCTCTTAACTGTCTGGTCAGAGAAATACGTGTTTCTGTGTGTAGAGTTAATATATCTACTGTAAATGGATTATCAGATTTTCAGTCTGCACAGCATATGGATTATTTTTAATGACTCAGCACCTCCTTCAGGGCCTTTGTGTCACAGAGGTCTCATGGGGGTCTGTTATCCCCATACTGTGCGGTGTGGAACTGTCCCTCCGTGAGATGCCCAGTAGACAGAATGACCCAATAGACACATCAGTGGCGACTTTTCTTTCGCTACTGTTACAAACTACCTTGAATTAAATATTCTAATGTTTTTCTCCTTTTTTTTTTTTTTTTAATTTCACTGGGTCCTGTTATGTCCTCAGTGCAAGTAGTAACATTTCTAACTTAAAGGAGGCTCTCTGCCTCTAGTCATGGTAACTCTGCTTGCCAAACCGAAATTTTATAAGTGTACACCAACAAAGAATTTTCCCTGGTTTCTGTGAAGGGTATACAAGTCCCAGTGTTAAATCACTCTGGAGGGGAAACAGTTAATGGAATAAACCTAAATGAAAATATTTAATCACAGCGGGGGAAAAGAATGCACCACAGGAAACCGGCACAGCTCCCCAAATTCCAGGTTTTACATTTACATATCAAAACCACTCTCATTTGTGGTAAAATGGGGCCCTGATAGCTGGAATTAGTGAAAGGTAAGAATTTAAGAGTGTTAAAATTTTCAGTTGTTTTAATTTCAAATACACGTATCTTAAGCAGGGCTAACATTGCTACTGTGTGAAAGAACCTGATTAAAGGAATGAAGATTTTAACTGGTCCATTAATTTCCTTTTTTTTTTTGAATGTGCAAGAGGGCCCTCACCAGTGGGGGAGGGGCAGAGGGAGAGAGACTCCTAAGCAGGCTCCATGCTCAGCCTGATGTGGGCCTTGATCTCAATGCTCTGAGATCATGACTTGATCCGAAATCAAGAGTCAGATTCTTAACCAACTGAGCCACCCAGGCGCCCCTTAATTTTTTATATGTCAACAGACCCTTTTGTAAAGGGCTCCAGGATAATGCATGCTCTGGAATAGTGAATCCTGCCTTCCCAAGCCAACACAAGCAAAACAAATTAGGTTAATGCCATCCACTGTCTTAACGAATGATTTTTAGAGATGATTTATGTGGGGCTATGTACCGACATATCACACTTCCAGGTTTTCACTAACCTAGTTTTCGTACCCGATCGAAACCATTTACCATATTTGCTACCACAAGAACCTCTTACTGCTGGGCATCTAGTTCAAGTTCTTACCTTTAGCTGGAAAGTCATTTTGAATGGCTTGGCATACTCTGTTGTGTTACTCATTCCATAAAGATGGCACAGTAAAGGTGCTTTGAAGGTGACAGGGAGAAAACCAGTCACCCTTATCCGGGTCATTAGCGCCTGGCACTGTCAGAAGTTGGCTTCATGATGCCTAGGCCTGGGCTTCAGCCCACAGCACAGACCAAGGCAAGCCAGAGCATGCACCCATTCACACGCACATGCACTCAGACCTACAAGGGACAGGCCCCACAGTCAGCCACAAATGCAATTATCACATCAGGTTCATTCTGGATAGTTCATGTGGTCTCAATTTCACTGGGTAAGCTCAGGAGAGATTTAGGTGGGTAAGCTATCACATGAGAAAATTGGTTCTCAGTCTGGATAAGAACTGGAGTCCCAGTGATTCAAAATCTAAAAGATTCTTTGATAAGCCTGAAGAATGAACATCTCCTATTCCATATTGTAAACTGCAACTATTAATAGGTATTTTAACTACTTTTATCCTCTGCCACAATGTGTGCTTTGGAAAAAAGAGGTTTATTTATCAGAATATAGTATAGTTGAAATCAAGACTGACTAAAATGCAGTATTTCATTCTAACGACATCCTTATAGTACACTTTTATGCTATAGTTTATGCATATAATTATTGGTAATAATTAACACCGCCTTCCTTAATGTTTATAATTATCTTTTCCTCTTGAGGAATAGCACGAGCTCTTTGAGAGCATTCAATTCCAAATTAATCATTATTTCTTACAATGCACTGAATAAGGAAAACAGTAAAAATTGTCTCTATTATTTTCACACGCAGCTGTCTGTAAAGTGGTGGGTTTAAACAAGCCATTGGAAAAAAGTGAGAAATCTAAAGTAATGTTTTAAAATAAGTTAGCATGTGTGTACCTGATTAATTAAAAATAAATCCTACTGATGAGATACCATCTTAAGATGATTTGCTTGCCAACAGTGTGCAATACATTTCAGATAATGTGTATATTAGGTATTAGCATATGGTTTGAAACTCCAAAAGCTGTTGTTCTTACTATTAGGACATGTTTCAACGTAACTGGAAGTTAATGTTTTCTGGTGCTTCTGGATACTGACGTAAAATATACATCAGAATACAGTGATGGCTCCTAAAAATAACAGAATAAATGACAATGCTTCATTATAATTTTAAAGGGGTTGTATGACTAAAGAAAAGTATTACCATGTAACTGGCAAGTCCTTCCGGAAAAATAAAGTTTTAGGACAGAACATGATTTTTTCAATTCATCACCCTGTTCTGAAGGGAGTCACACTACACATCCTCCTGGCTAAATCTGTGGTAACCTTATTCCAGAGACTTCTTAAAAGCGGAAGTTTCCAGGAGAAATAGGGCATGGAGAATCACCATGCTGGTTATACTATACACTCCAAGGAAAAAGCTATTCTCTTGTAGCAGGCGCCCAAATGCCTGAAATTTCCCGAGTGGATTGATGCTCCCCTTCCCCCACAGGTGTCTAAATACCTTATAGAAGTGTCCTTGGGAAAAGACGCCTTCTTAATGTTCTGAACATGCAGAGAACAAACTTCCATAAAGGGCCACACATGTTCTCTGCCAGCTAACATAGGAAGGGGCAGAATGTGCTCAACACCCATTACCAGACTCTCTAACCTTGCCTGACCTCTACCTGGACCAGACATGTGGGTGTTACCCATAGCCCCTTCCAGAATCTCCGTGGAGGTCACAGGCCGATAGTCTTTAGGCTCTTCAGAAAATTTCGTGCCCTACCTGCTTCCCTCGGTGCGCGTGACCACTTCTCCCTCACGTTCCTCTTGGATTCCTGCACCAGCAGGATCTCAAACAAAACGTCTGTGGAACAGTCTCCAACAGGAATTCTTCAGTGGTTTCCCCTCATCTGTGAGAATAAAGCTCACTCCTGAGCATGGTACAGGAGGCGCTTCATGATCTAACCCAGACACTCTCAACCCCGGGGCACTTTGGAGTCTGGTTCTCAAGGTCTAGGGCAAGCTCTGGGTATCACGTGACTCTAATATGCAGCTGAAACCACTGACTCCAGCCCCTTCTGTGTGCTGCAGGCCTAACTCTGACCCACAAAGTCTGGGTTTTGGAGCCTCGCACAGGTCACTGCCCTGGCTAGGCGTGTCACACTCCCTTTGTAAATTTTGCTCATCCTTCTGAACTTGAGGGCGAGGTATACCTTCCTTCTATGGAGAAGGCCAAGTCTTCAGAACCCAAAGCCCCCAAGGCTGAATCACAGACCTTATAAGCTGTGGTTGGCATAATGTTGAAAGGGTGCCATTTCCTTTATAAACTTCTCAGGCAAGTTCAATGCCCCTAAAATAAGACTCCAAATAATATTGAGCCATGTGACATTGCAGGTATTTTTGACTTAGAAAAATAGCAATTTCATATGCTTACCCTAAATACTATGGGAATTTTACAGAAGTCACTCAAGAGCTTAAAAACAAAACAACACGAACTTTGAGCAGATTTAATTTCCCTGAGATCATATTCCATAAGTTATACAAATACTGTCCATTAGGCCAGTGGTTTTCAAATTTTACTGTACATACAAAGCAGCTGTGTATCTTGTGAGAGTGGTTCCCAGCAGCTCTGGGGTGGGGCAGGAGGGTCTACACGTCTAACAAACTCCAGGGGATGTGGACGCTGCTTTCCTGGAACACACTTTTGAAGAGCAGCACACTGGACCACATAAGAGGAACTCCAGGCATGTATCAGTGATACTGTGGGTTTGGTCCCAGACCACCGCAATACAGTGAATATTGCAATAATATGAGTAGAATGAATCTTTTGGTTTCCTATGTATAAAAATTATGTTTATACTATACTGTCATCTATTAAATGTACAGTAGCATTATGTCTAAAAAAACAAGGTACATACTTTAAATAAGAATACTTTATTGCTAAAAAATGCCAACCACCATGTGAGCTTTCCATGAGCGGTAGGTAATGTTCTTGCTTGTTGGAGATTCGTTTCTCAATGTTGATCAGGGTGGTGGTTGCTGAAGGCTGGGGTGGCTGTGGCAATTTCTTAAGACAGCAATGAAGTTTGCCACACTGGTTGATTCTTCCTTCCCTTGAACACTTATTACAAGCCACTGTAGGGTTGTTAACTGTACCGATTTCAATACTGTTGTGTCTCAAGAAATAGGGAGGCCCGAGGACAGGGTGACAGGTGACCAGCCAGTTGGTGAAGCAGTTGGGACACATAGCATGTATCGATTAAACTCACCATCATATGTGGGTGCGGTTCATGGTGCCCCAAAACAATTACAAGAGGAACATCAAAGATCACTGATCACGTATCACCAGACCAAATACAGTGAAAAAGTTTGAGATATTGTTGAGAATGACCAAAATGTGACACAGAGACACAAAGTGAGCAAATGCCATTGGAAAAAATGATGCAAACAGACTCATCTGATGCAGGGTTGTCACAAGCCTTCAATTTGTAAAAAATGCAGTATTTGCGATGCACAGTAAAATGAAGTGCAATAAAACAAGGTATGCCTATATAATATTTATCTAAAAAAAATCCCCACAAGTGTGGAGAATAATGAAAATGTTTCTCTATTCTTCTATACTAAGATCAACCCTGGTTTTCAGTATTCCAGGTATCTGATCAATTGTAAAGCCTTAATAAATTTATAGGCTTTATTTAACTTCAAAAATAAAGCCTTATGATATCAAACACTTAATAATGACTATATTAAAGAGTGTCTAAGAAACTTGTCTATTTCTGAGCATACAGAAAAGATAATCTTTGGAGAAATTCTGCTTCATTGCACAAAGCCACGATTACTTCTTGTCTTTTGAGTCTAACCTCTATGATGTTTTGGTGTGTTCTTTAAGAGCATCACCATTTTATAGCATATTTTGGATTTGTCAAAAGCACTTAGCGCTGTACAAAAGTTCCCAATTGTAACGCTTCATAAAAAGTTAGTATTTTCCTTGCACCCAGACAGGAGAAAGGACAATTTCAAACATCTAATTAATTACTCCTCATAAATGTACGAGTTTACCCCACACAACAACTTCTAAAACTAGAGAAACATTTTTTTCTGCTTTACAGACAAGTATTAGTTATAACAGACCAGTGTGTTAAAGTATCATTTACAATTATACATGTGTTAGGCTGAGAACAGGAATAAGTTCCTAGTGGACCACTTAGAAAGAATGAGAGCAGATATGAACTTTGGTAGTTTGAGTGAGGAAAAGAGAAGGGGCTCCAAAATAATTTTTATCAATGGCTGACATCATCCAAATAGCAAGAGCGTGGCAGATCCTTCTCTGTGAGTTTGTGCCAACCTTCACTCTGAGCCTCTCGGCTGGACCCTGGGGCCCTATATTGGAATGGCAGTTTGGGCCTAGGAAAAGGCACACCAATACATTTCCCTGTAGATCAGCAGAGCTCCTTCGTTCCCAGGTGTGATACTAAAGTGAGATAAAGGAAATGACTTTCAACATAAGACACTGTAGAACTAAGATCCCTCTGATGAGGCGTGACGCCTGGCTCTTACACTGCATGAGATGGCATCTGAAAGGCATTCCTGTCCTTTGGTTTCCCCACTGGGCTCTACCAGCATCTCACTGATGCAGCCTGGTGGACCACCGGCTTCTGGGAGCAGCTCATGCCTGATAACCCAGGGAGAACTGGCCAGACTAACCACCTCAGCTCTCTGCAGAGCATGGGGCTTCAGAGGCAGTGGACACAGTGGACGGGGCCCACGAACCCATTTCTCCTATGACGGAGCACAACTGCCAAGAGCTGGGGAAAATGTCCCACACTGTGATCACTTCGTTTAGTAGTTCAAGCTGAGTTAGCTATTCATAAACACAAACCAAGCCTCTGGCTTTGACTTGAATCAAAACCACCATGATCTCTGAATGATGCTTTTTCTGCCGCCGTGAAAAAGTGCAAGTGGTGCTTATAGAATACAGGGTTCTGGGCATCCCTGAGGACCCCCGAATTGGTCTCCGGGGCCAGCTATCTGATGTTCCCTGTTTTCCAGGTGGAACCAGAACTCATAACCTTGTTATAACTTAAGAAAGTGAGAGGCTAGTTTCAATAACAGCTTCCTCCATCTCTAGGATTCTCATGGCAGAAAGGACCCTCTTGGCTTCCGCATTTTGACATGAAACCCCTGTCCCAGTGGATCACTTTATTAATGCGATACCGTAGTTTTTACTTAGCAGGGGAGTACATCACCTTCTATTAACTCACCATCATCCCCCTGCCCTGAAGCTGGTAGTGCTTCTCCCGGAAAACTTCAACCGCACCGGCTGGGTGGGAAGAGGAGGCTTTTACAGAACCTTTAATACCTTCCCCTTCAACAAAGCTCTGGCTTCTGATCGGCCAGCAGGCCGGACCTGGGCGTCTATCAACACATCACACCCGTTGGGAAATCCCTCCTCCACAGCCTCGGAGTTGGTTTCTTGCGTCCAGTTCCATTTTACTCATTTTTTAATTTGTCACGGCCACCATCACCATACCGGCGTCTGTTCAATGACATTATGAAAATCGCCACTAGGGCTAGGGCAGCCCCCAGGCCAGGGGGCCCGCACGGGCTGACCTCCTGCGCCACCCCAGAGAGGAGGGGGGCGACGATCCGGCCCACAGCCGTGACCGACTGCCCCACGCCGATGACCGTGCCGCTGGCCTGCGCCCCTCCCGCGGCCAGCTGCAGGTCGGTGATGCAGGTCCTGCCCACGGCAGTGGAGACGGCCAGCAGCGAGGAGCAAAGCATGGCCACGGCCACGGTGCGGGTGGCGGTGTGCAGCAGCAGCAGCACGCACGTGAGCACACTCGAGTGCAGCAGGACCGCGTGGCCGTCGTGCCGGTACAACCGCAGGATGGGCCCCAGCGCCAGGCCGGCCAGGGCGCCCAGCGCGCTGCCGTAGCTGATGAGGTAGCCAGCTGACCGCGGCCGCACCCCGAAGCGCTCCTCCAGGCCCAGCACAAAGTTGCTGTAGTAGAGCATGGCCGCCACGGCCATCAGCAAGCGCACCACGAAGATGTCCCACATTTCGGAAAATATCAGGCTCTTCATGTCCCGCAGTGCGGAAGCGACCTCCACCCAGGGCGGCCTGGAGGGCTTCCCACGGGCCCTGCTCCGGCAGTGGGGGGCCGCTTCTTGCACTTGACAGTCTGTCTTCTCCCGAAGCTCAGAGTTCTTAGCCGCTGGCAGGTCTATCTCTGTACTGGTGAGCTTCGCGTCCCGCCACGGAAACAGCCAAACCAGCCCTGGTAAGGTGGTATAGGATTGGTCAGAGGAGGCTGCATGCCGCGATTCCCACGGTGCTCCCGAGGGGTAGAGGTGGGGAGGTGGCAATTATTTGTATGAGATCACTACTCTGGATTCTGTACTAGGATTATACTCATCTGTATTTCTCAATACCGTTTTTAACCGTTCCCACAGCAACTTCTACTCAATTTTGATAACGGAATTCTATTCCCCTCAAAGAAAAAAATTTAGACCTACAAAATGCTCACTTTTTTCCCAGCTCAAGAGTCCATGATGGTTTCCTAGATCACGTGAGATCTAAGTTCTCATGCTCTGTGTTTAAATTCTTCCCATCATTAGTTTTCTAAATCTGTCTATCCACTGTCTGCATACACATCCATTCACCACCTGTACTTCACCCATTTGAATACTGAATATTCATGCTTCCTAAATGCTAAATTCTGTGCTAAACAGTAGGAATATATTAACCAACAAGACAAGGTCTATGAAATCCCTGCCGTCAAGGAATGTAAGTCTAAAAGGGAGTTTAGACAAGTAAAGCAACTGGATTACAGGGTAAGGGCTAAGTGGAGGGAAACAAGGGATGCTGTGAACAGAGACAGCCAGCCTTGGCTTGTGGAGAGGGGGGGACAGCTTGACACCCCCAAGGAGTCATCAGAAAGCACCTGCGTGGATCTGCCTCCAGTCAGGGCCATCATGTGCTGTTACAAGTCACACCTCAAAATCTCAGGGGATGCCATTCTCATGGACCGGGATGCATGACCTTACGCGGCAGCTCGATTCCTATTCAGATAATCTCTCCTCCACCCTTGTGACTGGAACATTCCTGCCATGGCTGTTTTATTTATCCCGTGCCATCCAAGTAGAATGACCTATTGGCACGGCCAATCCATGCCCCCAAATGTCTTAAAACTGAATTCCAGCTTGCCATTCTAGGATATCGTTTCCTAACTCATGCTGCTGGGTTCTCAGTCCTTCCACACTTAAATTCAGTGTGGGCCAGTGGCCTTTCAGGCCCCTTCATGCTGTTTTCAGCAGCTACATCTGTGTGTGTGGTTTCTCCAAATATAGTACTGGTGGACTATTAGCCAGGGACTAATTTATGACAGGAAACTAGCCACACAAGAATGCAGGCCTGGACTTTCCACCTCTTCTGACCTTTACGAGGGCCCTCGGACACTTCATAGAACCTTGAAAAAAATGAGCAAGGCTTGTCACTGGTAGCCTGAGAGAAAGAGTATAATTAAAATAATAATAAAGATGATAATCATGACAGCAACTAACGTTTACTGAGGGCTTCCCATACTCGACGCTGTGGGGTAAACTCCTAACAAGTCTAGGAGTGCTGTCACCCTGTTTTACAGATGAGGGACTGAGGAAACCCACCCAAGGCCCACACTACAAAGTGGCAAAGCAGGAATGTGAATCTAAGTCCGTCAGACTTCTGTCTGAAAACAGAAATCATGGGAAAAAGACATAAAAGGCCTTTCTCAGGCAACGTGGCAGATCAGAGTGAGGATATGAGAGGCTGAAGGGGTGAAGAGGGTTGAAGAAAACAGCTGAAGTTGTTGAGGGAAAAACAAACAAACAAAAAAACCCACCATACGTTAAGTTCATTGAGCTGTCTGGCCAAAGCCCCATGTGAGACTGTCTGCTGTCCAGCCCCCCCCACCTCACCCTGTTGTTCTCCTCTGCTATTTCCTGCGTCAGCTTGGCCCGCCGACCTCCACATTTCTTAAGAGTGCACAATAAATCCCTATGACTTTTTTTAGCCATTGTGGAGAACGCTTGCAGGTGGATGTATCCCTGACTACCTCAAACCCATTCACAGGCTTAGGTGAAGGCAAAATGTGAACAGCAGCATCGCTGGAGAATTCAAAACAGAGCTCCATATCAGGTTCTTCGTTTACACATGACTTCTGACTTCCACTGCTATCGCATTCATCGAATTCCTTCACGTGGGAAGGTACCTGGCCACGCCAGCTGGTCAGGTGCTTAAAGTATTATCTAGATTTACCCTAATCCATGAGACCACACCTCACCTCCTGGCTGAGGTTACAGGTTACACTTCTGGCAGGAAATCATAAAGTATTCCTATGAGGTCTGACACTGAGCCGTGAACTCTGCTTCCTGAGTGTGAAATCCTAGCTCAACATGGAATTCATCTCTCAACGTGGAGCCTTGAATACAAGACTGAAAACGGTGCAGTAGGTTATCATTACATTTAAGAAAAACTGAAGAACGTGAATCATTCCTCTTGCTTACAAAGTTATTTATCTAAGGCTCAGCCATATACCAGTCTCTGGGCAAAGAGGCTCATCTTGTTTGCTATAGGTGCAACTGATGCTGCGTCCAGGGGCTCACAGTCCAGACAGTGTTCTTTTATTCATCAAACAGGACTGAATTTAGTTTTGTGCCTGGCAAGTTCTGGGCAGGAGTGACAACCATGAGCAAATCCCTATGCCTGAGGTGTTTACTTTTGAATGGCATGTGTGCAGAGGTGGGAAGGAAAGGGGTAGAAAGAACAGAAGCAAGAAAACAAATTTCTAATATAATTTGAGAAGTGGCGTCAAAGGGGCACCTGGGTGGCTCAGTCAGTTAAGTGTGTGACTTTGGCTCAGGTCATGATCTTGTGGTTCATGGGTTCAAGCCTTGCATCAGGCTCTGTGCTGACAGCTTGGAGCCTGGAGCCTGTTTCAGATTCTGTGTCTCCATCTCTCTCTGCCCCTCTCCTGCTCATACTCTGTCTCTATCTCTCAATAATAAATAAACATTAAAAAAAAAGAGAGAGAGAGGCGTACTGTCAATAAAATGGAGTTATTTTAAACAGAATCATCAGGGAAGGCCATCCCAAGGAAGAAAATATTTGACACTTGAATGATAAGAAGAAAAACCCTGTGAAGCGATTTGGGAAGAATGCTGTAGGTGGAGGAAAGCACAGATTGCAGTGCCCTCCTGTGGGAATGAGCCTGGTGTGTGTGAGGTTGACCAGAAAGCCAGTGTGGCTGGAGCATATGGAGAGAGGCAGAGTGAGGGAGTGAGGGACAGGGCCAGCCCACCACTATGCTGGCTGCATGAGACACATATGTACTTTTAACATGATTGGGAGACATGGGGGGGTGTCTGTAGCAGGGGATGAGGTGGTCCAACTTCAAGTAATAAGTGTGCCTATTCTAAGGTGTAGAGGATTAAGAGTATACTTATCAGGATGAGCACCAAGTAATGTATAGAATTGCTCAATTGCTGTATTTTACGCCTGAAACTAATATAACGCTGTATGTTAACTATAGTGGAACAACAACAAAAAATTCTGCCTATTTTAAGAACAACAAATTGTAAGGAGATTAAAGTAGGCGGATTGATCAGTGTGAATGCATAAACCAGACAATCTTCTTATGATGAAATGTCAACTTACCAGCATTGAGAATGAAGACGGAAAAACAGATGAAGGCTGTTAAATAGAATCCACCATCTAACTCAGTGAGATAGCCACCCACCATGGGGCCTAAGATGAAGCCCACACTAGAGGCTGCGTTGAACTGTCCAATTACGAGTGGTCGTTCCTTCTCTGTGACCAGATCAGAAAGCAGAGCCCTTGAAATGGAGAGTGTGTGTTTGAATATACCTGTAAGGGGACAAGAAACATGCTCTGTAACATTTTTCAGACCAAAAGTATCTTGCACATGATCTTGCAATTCATCTCTATCACTGACAGAGTTCTAGTCTCCACTCTCTTTGAACGTCTAAGGTCTGCAGTTTCCTGCCTCCGTGACTGGACTCCCGGTCTAGCCCCACAGTCCTAACTGGCCAACTTATCCCTGGTGGTGAAGCCCTGAATCCTTAGTTTCCCCACCTCCCACCCTGACATCCCAGTATCTCTGGCCCTCTCTGTTAGCCAAGTGCAATTCATGGTGGCTTCTCTACAGAGATGTGTCATTCTTTATTCATTTGCTCTGTGGATAAACATTTACCTCATGCCTACTATATGTCCAATAGTAACTTTGACCCCTGACACAATGTACTATCTTCACAGAGCCTGTGTGTGTGTGCGTGCATGTGTGCATGTTTGTGTATGTATAAAGGTAATAACTGCTACAGACAGAAACAGAACAGGCAAGAAGGATAGGGTGTAAAAATATAGAAATACGGTGACACGGTCATCTAAACAATACCAGTTGATTTTCTATTAGCGAGGGGTTTATGAGTTTGTTGCCTGAACAAAATGAAAGCCATGACATGACTTAATAAGAGATTAAATTATATGTTACAACTTTATATTCCTCCTATTTCTGTTGAGGTACTTGACTCGTCTTCACCCATACTCCCATACACTGAACAGACTGTGGTTTCTGGAAACACAGCTTGCTCAGTGTTGATTGATGCATAGCAGGCGCTCAATCAATGCTCCTGGAGGGTCTGTGTGAACTGCTCCTAAGTAGGATGGAACATAACGGTTTCCAGCAATCTTCTTGAAAGAAGTATCACTCCACGGGGCGCCTGGGTGGCTCAGTCAGTTAAAAGCATCTGACTTTGGCTCAGGTCATGATCTCATGGTTAGTGGGTTCGAGTTCCGCATTGGGCTCTGTGCTGATTGCCAGCACAGAGCCTGGAGCCTGTTTCAGATTTGATTGCCAGCACAGAGCCTGGAGCCTGTTTCAGATTTGGTGACTCCTTCTCTCTCTGACCCTCCCCTGCTCACACTGTCTCTCTCTCTCTCTCTCAGAAATAAATAAAACGTTAAAAAAAAAAAAAAGTCTCACTCTGCACATCACTCCACCAGCACATTGATGCTGGCTTCTACACCCAGCTGGGTCTAAATATCAGAGACGGTGTTTGTCTGATAACCAGCCTATTTGGGAAGCAAACTTAAAATCTCTTTTGGAACTAGGTAGAAAGACTCTTTCTAAACCTATTCCCTTAAATGTGAGAAAGGACTGGACCAGAAGATGATTCCTAGGAGGCCTGATAGATTATGTTCTTGTGACTATATTCCTGTGTTTATTTTTGAAATGATACTGATTTGGGTCCACCTCACACACCCAAGGAAAAGAGGGATGTGGTGAGAGTAACCCAGACTAGCTTTCTGTTACATTTTGGGGGCTGGGCGAGGGGACAGAGAGAGGAGGGGGAAACCACACGTCTGCTTCTGGTACTTCAACCTCTCTCAGGTTCACCTTCAGGACACAAAGACCTGAACCTACATGTGAAATCTTGTGGCACAACCCTGGCAAGGCTGCCCAGGGCTCCTTCACGTCCCCGGGCCACTGAACACCAGAGAGGTTCCACAGCAAGAAGGAGTTTTTGTGTATAGCTCTCCAGTTGGCAAAGAGTAGGATGTTCACCTAACAGAGCTACCGTGACTCAAACCGGGCTCATGTCATATTAAACAAAAACATTTTAACCTCCTCTATAAACTTCTATCTACTGTATAATCAATGTTGAGTCTATTTGTCTTATATTTTTCTTTAGAATCATGAGCAGCCTTACTGCTGAGTGGTGGAGTATATTACACTGTGGGACACACACTGCCACTCAAACCAAGCCTGTACAGTAACTTCAACACTGCGTGTGCACAAGCAGCCGTCAGCTGGGTTCCGCATGGTAGTGGGACGAGTTAGGACGACAGCTTACATTCAAAGCAAAGACCTTCATGACCTTTTTTTTTTTTTTTGCGTCAATAGAAAGGCACAGCATGAATTTTGGAGGGTAAACTCCAAAGACTTAGCGAGAAAGAATGTATGTCATGGAAATGGGGTGAAAATCCCCCAATAAGCTGGTCATCAACTGTAGGTCAGAAGGACTTATTTAATGCTCTGTTCCTTGGGGGTGTTAGTTAAAAACATGCAGCTTAACTGAATATGGGCAGAGGTCCTGTGCCGCAAACTCGTCCACCAGGGTAGCAGAGTCTGTCAGTGCTCTATTGAGTAAGGAGAGAAAGAAACACTGAGACTCCAGGGCTCTCACAACGGAGAAAGGCAAAGAGAGAATAAAAAGCTTCCACAGGAACTGCCTACGCACCACACCATGACGGCATTCACAAGTGGCGTCTCCAAGAAAGGACAGAATGTTTCAAGGCAAGGACGAAATAAAAGCTATTTTGAAAATGCCAGAAACTTTCAAGATCAGTGTGGAAACAGAAACTGACCCATGAGCCATGAGCCACTACACTGTCATCCTGCTCTCTCCCCCAGGCAGCAGCCAGGTTCACAGAAGGCAGCAGGGAAAGCCATAATCGTAAACCTCAACATGAAGTCAGGAGGCCCAATTTCAAAATGATCAGCTCACCAAGGGAGAGAACAGAAACCACAGGGTTGGCCAAAGACATTGAAAAAATTCCTACTGGTTGGAGGTACCGAGAGATCAGATCGATGGGAAGGAGACAGGTCTGTGCAGCAGCCTGATGATTCACATAGACAGTTGGGGAAGGCTCCAAACTCGGTCATGTGCAAGCTTTGCGGCTTGGCACAGGTTAGCCAAGCCTGGCTGATACCGAGGGCCCCACCAACAGCAGGGGCTGGTTACTCTTGCTATTGCCATGATTCTCTCTTGACATGTACTCTAATCAAGAAGGCAGTGTCTAGAAGGACAGTCTCTCTTTCTACACATACATATACCTGACTTGTTTTGAATGAACACACACACAAAGGCAAAAACTCACCCACAGGGACTCTGGCGAGGGCAAACAGGAACACACTGGTGGATGCTCCGAGAATGAGATAACCCAGGGCGCTGAACAGAATGCACACCAGCAAGGAGGACCGTCTTCCGACCACATCACTCCAGCAGCCCTGAGGAAAGCAAGGAACACAGCAGGTCCACCACCACTATGGAAATGCCCCCAAAATGTTTTTAAAATTTTGAAATGTTTACTTACTTTTGAGAGAGAGAGACAGAGAGAGAGAGAGAAGCACATGAGTGGGGAAGGGCAGAGAGCAAGGAGACACAGAATCTGAAGCAGGCTCCAGGCTTCGAGCTCTCAGCACAGAGCTCAATGTGGAGCTTGAACTCATAACTGTTGAGATCATGACCTGAGCCAAAGTCGAACCCTTAACTGACTGAGCCACCCAGGCACCCCAAAATGTGACCCAGATATGTTGCTAGATGGGGGATAACTTACCACCAATGTGCTAGAAAAGAGCTGCAAAATGCCGTAGGAGGAGCCTATAAAAGACATCAGTAAATCAATACAATCAGACCCATCACAAAAAAATGGATTTATGTGGTAACAATTACATAGAAATTAACAGAAAAACACTGGGGGGAGAGAGAAAGGACCATTTTAAAAGGAAATTACCCTTTTTTTTTTCAGTTGGAAGAGAAAAGCCATACAATTTTTTATAAAAGACCTTCAAAATAAAACTGAAGGAAGCAGAAGAGAGACCAAAGCTAACGGCCACCCTCAGGGACTCTGAGAGAGAGGCCTTCTCCCACCTTGTGAGGATGTGTACCCCCAGCTGAGAAGACTGAACAAAGAGTACTTGGGGGAGTAGAAATCTGAATCCTGCAAGAATTCTGCTAAGTCTTAAATCTTCTGTATTATCTCACATGCCTCTAACCTTCCAGTTTTATAAGAAACTGACAAAGTTTTACAGAGTACTTTTACCTCCATTATATCAAACAGCACGCCCCTTCTGCTCTCCCTAAATACCTTCAGGTTGCCGTGTGGTCCAGTGCGATTCCACTTTCCAAGGGAAATACAAATCATGGCATGGAGGACTTACCAAATATTTTGTACACACTGTCCCAGAACATCTGCTTATCCAGCTTGTGCCTAACCAAGGGCTGTTCGTCTTAACAATTTCTTGTATAGTAGCATGCTCCCAAGCCCTATTTCCTGTCTCTTAGGTAAATCAGTGACCTTCAGACGTGCTGTTTGTAGGCTGCACAGGTAGAAAAGCCGTAACAACCCCCTAAGAGGTGCTGGTGGTGGTGCAGGAAGCTTGCAACCAATCTGTCAGGGCTCACCCCGAGTCCCTTTGCCGCATGGCTTGATTTCTGTAGGTTGCGTTTCTCTGATTTCTCGCATTAGGTTACAGGTGCCCTCAGGCAGGAGTCTATACCTACCCTTTAACATACACAGGCAGCTCCTTGCATAGGTTCGGGAAATACCTGAAAATTCAGCACTCTGAAATGTGCAATATTAACCACTCACCTACTATTCCAGCAACTGTTGGACTTGCCCCAAGAGATTTGACATGAAGGCTCAATAAAGGGACGACCATGCTCACACCAAACAAATCCTAAACAACAAAACATAATTAACTCCAATTGAAACTGAAGCTTAGATGTTCTTGAAGTGGTAATCCGAATAACAGGCTGATTTAAAAAAATAAAAACAGGGGCGCCTCAGTGGCTCAGTCAGTTAAGTGTCCAACTTCAGCTCAGGTCATGATCTCACAGTTCATGGGCTTGAGCTCTGCATCAGGCTCTGTGCTGACAGCTCAGAGCCTGGAACCTACTTCAGAGTCTGTGTCTCCCTCTCTCTCTGCCCCACTGCTGCTCATGCTCTGTCTCTCAAAAAATGAATAAATGTTAAAAAATAAATAAATAAATAAAAATAAAAACAATACCTAAAATTTTGAGCAAATAAGAAATCATAATTGTATTCTGTAGTGAGTGTGCTATACTCAACCGGTTAAAGTTATCAAAGAATCAAAATCAATATAAGAATTGCTACTTGTAAATGCTTGATCACCATAACCTAGAATCATTCAACCTCAGCTTCTTTGTAACTGATCTTTAATATACAAGGAGGATATGCGACAGAAGTTAAGCAAATAAAGAAACCTGTTTGTGGGTAATGAAGTGGGAAAGGAAGTAGGGATAATGCATATTCCTTGGCAAAGCAGCCTTTGCTTCATAGTATGAATTTCCTCCCAGAATTAGGGAAGGCAACTAGTCTGTGGTTTACAGGCTTACAAGGTAGTATCTGAAAAGAAAATCTGAGCGAAGCAGGAAGGAGAAAGGTGGCTGGGGTAGTGGGGAAAGCCAATGTTTTGCAGCTGGGTCAATGAAAGTGCATGGAATCTGGGGTCAGACAGACAATTCTAAGTTCTAGCTCCATCACTTACTAAGCATGTTATTGGATGTCATCAAGCATCAGTGCTGTCATCTGTAAAAAATGGGGATGACACCTGTCTGGTAGAAATATGATGTACATTAAGAGACGTAGTGTGAGAAATGTGTAACACGCAACGGAAGTCAAACATTTTTTTCTCTTTCCTTCAGTCTGGGGATAAGTACTGATCCTTCTTGCTAGGTATTCTGAGTGAACAGATTGTTAATTTTTCTTAAGTTTTGTTCTCATTCCTACTTCACTTGGTTACTTGCTACAACCGGTTTCGAAGGAGGAAAGCACATTGCACACACACATTTTCTTTACACTCAACCCAAATTCCTTTTGTTATAATCCTGGTTAAATACAAAGAAAGAAATGTATGGAGGATAATTTTTTTCTTTGGGCCACAATTAATCTTTTGCTGGCCCCTTCTCCTAGTGGCTATACCTTCATCTAATTTTAGAAACACAAATCTCTAAATGTACTTTTCAGTGTCCCCTTTCCATCGCTACATCTTTAGGTGGCCAAATATTTACTATCCAGTGTTCTTAAATAGCCCATAAATTTACACCAGAACTATGGTTCGTTATTTTGATATAAGATTACTTAAAATTTCTCTTGGGTCTGAGTCAATGCCTGCTGGGGTTTTCTGTCAGCTTTGTTTCATTAGCCTACTGATGCATTATATCATTTAAAATAGTGAAAATATATCAGTTACTTATTGAATTTTCTGCTCTTTCAGAAAAGGAAACTCAACTGTCCAACAAGATTTTATTTCCAAAAAATTCCCAGTACCACTTGTCATTTAACCTTCAAAACGTTATTCTAAATAAAGGATGGAAGAGAAATTATTAAGTAGGTTGAGATTTATGGAAGGTGATAAGAAAACATAGACTCATAAGCAATCACCGATGCTCACTATTATTTTTCACACTTTATGAGTCTGAAAAATAGTATCTATTTCCAAGGAGGCTGGTGCTAGCTCTTTAGGAAGTTGTGTTCTAAAACTTTCTTCCCTTGTACTATAAAAGGCGACTCCTCTCTTTCAGTAAATCCACAAGTTCTTCAAAATCACCCACATTGCATGCACTTTAATGTTGCAACTGGTCACGTGGCTGTAATCATTCATAAGGAAATCAGGCGAGTAGGGATCACTTAAACCTTTCATGGGAACAGCTACACCTCTCAGTAAAAACTGGTGTATATACTAACAAATACCAGGATCTTTTTCACGGTAGGAACCCAAATATTTTGTGATTAGCAAATTGCCTCAGTAAGAATGAATAAGAGACCTGACTAAAGCTGATGAAATAAAATATAAACCTCCCCATGTTATCTGAAGGAAAGGGAGTAAAATCATAGATCTCAGCACCATCTTAGGATGCTAACCAAAAAGGGCCTAGAGGGCCCTTAGTCTTCCTTCTTAAACAAATTAAAACCTGGAAGCATGGATGAGAACTAAAAACAGAACACTCTGGCAAATGACTTCTTTAATCTTGTTCCCTTCCTCTCTTATTAATCCAAAACCATTTTCTCAAAAGTCTTAGGGGTCTTTACATCGCTAATTATATTAAAAGTAATAACTAAGTTATGTATAATACTCCTTAGATGTTACCTAACAAAGAGCCATTAGATCCTTCACAGATACCCAAAGCTGCACATACTTTAATTGCTTACAACATTTTCCATTTAAAAAAAAATCCCTAATCTAACTTATGGGAAATCTTACATTTTCCCCTGAACATATTAGAGACCAAATGCTTCTCTTGAACAAATTATTAAAATTTTACATCAGTACTGCTAAATTTGACTAGCTGTGTGCACAGCATGTAGACAACATAAGAGAAGCTCTGAATATTCAAATCTGTAACCAGGGGGCCGGCTGTAATGAATGATCAGTGAATTTATTTAAAAAACTCAAACAATTCTGAATTGTAGGTCATGTTGGATTCTCTGAAGCCCAATCTGGACTTTCCAGGGGAAGGCCCAAATCCTTTTCATCTCGAAGAACCAGACAAGAGAGGGAAGCAGTAGCTTAGAGTCCCCAGCTCCTACCACAGGGTGGATGGCAGCCAACTCCCTTTTGAAATTTTAAGAACCTCTCACACTCTATAGTGTTGAATTCTGGGTGACTGGAATGGAAGGTAGGAGAGGTATTTCCACCCTGAAACTGAACAAAGATTAAGGAATGCCAAACTCAGGCATTCTGGAACGGGAGGCACTGAGCCTGAGGGGTAGGTAGGCAAGGTTCTCTGGGGGGTAGGTAGACAAGGTTAACTGAGGCAGACGTTCTGTGTGAAGGTGTCCTCCTGAGTGCTTCAGGGTTCTGTGTTTACAGTGACTTGGTGGAAATGCTTTCACCATTGTCTTAACTATTAGGTCAACATTAAAACTTTATAGACTGATGAACTCCATGCATTGAGGGGGCGGAAGGGAGACTGCCTTCCTGCTCCTCTCCTAGCTGAGCATAGCTCACCATCCAAACTCTAGGTGTGGCTATTGTAACTGGGGAGTAGTGGTCTTAACCTGCATCTGGGCAGAAAACGGAAATTCCTCTTTGCCAAGACCCAGTGCCACTGGGGACTATTGACGGCTGAGGCAGCCTTCTCCCAGGGACCTTTAACCTGACTAGTTTTGTCCCTCAAGATACAGACTCATCAAAGAATCCTACCGGGTGCTTGTCTCAATTCTCCCCTAACATGAATCGGCTCACAACCAAAGCAAATGAACCAGGTCTAGACTAGAAAGAGAGGAGTAAAGAGTTGGATCTTGGGTTCCTGGAGATAACGGCCCATGAACTACCAACACAAGCTTACTAGTAAGATTGTTAATTTTTTCCCAGCAGGGACTGTGTATAACAATGATTGGAATTCCACAGTGTCTACCACATAGCAGATTTTTAGAAATTCTAACAATAACAAATGGATGGATGACTTCCTCTATCCTATACTCCTCTTTTTAAGCTTTCCATTCTACATGGGAAATTCATGTAGGACACACACACACAGGACACACACACAGGGCACACACACAAATCATTAAAAAAACAAATCTGCATTGTCCAATAAAGTTTGTTGAAGGGCAGATGTGTATAACTCACTGTGGTTTGCATTTTTGTGTTGCCGTTGGTAATACAGGTATGCTGTTTCGAAGGGGCACATGCACCCAAATGTTTATAGCAGCACTATAGACAACAGCCAAAGTATGGAAAGAGCCCAAATGTCCATCAATGGATGAATGGATAAAGATGTGATGTATATATATATATATATATATATATATATATATATATATATACACACACACCCAATGGGGTATTATTAGTCGGAATCAAAAAGACTGTGGTTTGCATTTTTAAACACTCAAGTCTACCAGGAATCCGGGTAGGCAAAACAGGCAAATGTGCCTAATTAGTTCAAGTAGGATCATCAACAGCGACTTCCCCGGCTTGGTCTGACAGAAAGACCCGTGTATTCGCAGCACATCTACAGACACCAGATCAGCTGGACTTCCTCAAGCTTGCCAACAAGCCTACTGTCCACCCTGTGTGCGCCGCACCTACCACAGCATCTAACACCTGGGGTCATCCTTGAGCACCGCTCATCACAGATTACACTTGAGCCTGGTGCTGGAGGCTTCTCAAAGGGCAGGAGGGGCACAAGAGCTGCGAACTGGGTCCCTTAAAAGCGCTAGGGGCAATAAAGCAATGTGGCCTGGCAGAGAGAAAGGGTTGGGGAACAAGAGGAAGCTTGAAAAGTAAGGAGGCACCACCAGGCGGATCGCAGGTTCCCAGCCCTGACTGAACCTTACAACCACTCGAGCTTCAAGAAAAAACCCACCCCTATTTGGGTTCCAGGTCCAGGACGCAGCCCTTCGACCCCAGCCCCAGAACTCACCAAGAAGCCCACCACATAAAGACAGAGCAGGAAGCGGCGGGCTCCCACCGCACTGGCGCCAGGAGCCTGCGCCTCGGCCCCGGCCCCCGGCTCCTGCCTTGGCTTCTGGGTAGCCGAAGCCAGACCCCCGGCCGAGGCCAGGCGGCAGCCATCCCCGGAATCCATACGGACTCGGGCTGGGGGGCGCGGCTATTGCAGCCACGACCGGGACCCGCCCCGGCGCGTCAGTCCCGCCCCGAGCGGAAGCGAACGGCGTGCGCCTGCGCAGAGGATAGCGCAGCGAGGCTGTGGGGCGGCGGCGGCTGGGCGCGCGCGCGCAGCCGCGGTTTGGGTCCGGGATACGGAGCTGGCGGCGCGAGCCCGGGAGTGTGAGAGACTTGCCAGTTTTGTTTTGGTAATGATGATGCTCTACGTTTCCTCGGACGAAAGACTGCCTCTGGTATTGGAGGACGGGAGGGAGCTGTGAAGAGCTTCACCGAAGAGTATGCCCCCGCCTCCCCGCCCCCCGGGGTGGCGGCCACCCAGCCTGGGAGACTCGAGAATTAGGCTCGGGGGGGTGGCTCTGAGTGACGGGGAGTTGGTTCCTCTGGCCCCCCCACCCTTCAGCTTGCCTGTTGGAAACACAGCGGAAATAATGTAGGCTAACCTTGGAGAGCTGTGAGCATCCTGCAAATGCTTCCTGAGCCCGAGGGGAGGTGACAGGTGCCTGGAATAATTAATAATAAGCATATAATAAAAGAACGTGATAAATAAGACACAATAAGCAGGAGAAGACGATAAATAAAATAATAGGGTGGCAAGTGGTAGAAGAAAAGCCCCGTTTCCAGATGAAGACCAAGGAGGCGGAGAGTGAGCTGCATCCTTCTGGAACCTTGGGAGAAGTGGCATGTGGGCTGAGAAAATTGAGGAGATGTATGTGGCCGAAACTTTCTGAGCAAACAGAGTAATCCGAGAAATGGGCGGGAGGCAGGATGGATCATTCAGGACCTAAAAGGCCCTGGCAGAGCTTTAAGGTTCTATTCTGAGTGTACTGGAAGGAATTACGCAGCGCATGACACCAAATAGTGTGTACCCATCACTTGGCACAGTGACTGACTCGTGGTAAGTACTTAATAAAGATGAATTACGGTTATTAGCTCCTCTTTTATCAGGAACTTATTTCAGTACTTACTCGGCTCTCGCTGTGATGTGTTAGCAGAGGGTAAGTGAAACTCAGCTCAGGTCATAGTCTCATGGTTCTTAGGATCGAGCCCAGTGTTGGACTATATGCTGACAGTGTAGATAGAGCCTGCTTGGGATTCTCTCTCACCTCTCTCTGCCCCTTCTCCACTTGTGTTCTCTCTTGCTCTCTCTCTCAAAATAAATAAATAAACTTTAAAAAATATTTTAAAAGTTAAAAAAAAAAAAGATATAGGACACAAAGAAGAAAGCCATAGATGTCATATCAGCTATGACTTTGTGTCCAGTTACAGATGTGAGGACTGTTATGATTATTTGTATATGCTCTTCTTCCCTCTTTTTCTTCCAAGTATAATTATATATGTGAGTGGTGGAGGTTAACCTTGCAGTTTAGTCATTAGGTAGCATAATATTCGGTGTGATTGTGACTGAATTTGGTGAGTAATTAATGTAGTAATAGATACTTTGAGTATTGAGACTGTTGCTTTTTGTTAGGTGGAAAATTGTATGGAAATTGAAATATGAATAAAAGGATGTATTTGGACAAAGGATGGACAAAATTATTAATTGGTTGATGTCAGTTCCAAATCCAAATATACATACAATCGTCCTGCCCTGTCAAAATTTCTCCTTTCTAACTGGTCTGATGTTATTCTTTCTTAGTAGAAGGTGCTGAGGGACTAATGTGCTTTTCTCTCTTCTTGCTCCTGTGGTATGAGGCAGCCAGAAGAGTGTGAACACCTAGTGGTACTTAGCCCCAGCAACTTTCAGTGCCACCCTTGCATGCAGCAAATTCCACTGACATCAAGCTGGTTTCCAGGTGAACCTCCCAGGTGCCCTAGCAAGTACTTTCCTAGACATTTCCACGGACACCCTGGCTGGTGGCTTCCCAGTAAGTTTCATCAGTGTCTCAACTGAGGGCAGTAGGTAAGCACAAGATATCAAGCTATCCAAATTTGTTATAAGGAGAAGTAAAACTGACTATATTCATAGACCACATGGTCATCTATATAGAAAATACTAAAGATCTATAAGAAATCTACTGGAACTAAAAGTTTAATGGGGTTGCAAAATACAAGGTCAATGTACAAATAAGAATTTTATTTATATATCCTAGTAGTGAATAATTAGAAACTAGAGCTTAAGAAGAAAACCATTATAAAAACATTAAATATGAAATAGGGATAAAGTTGACTAAAAAATATGCAGAGAGAAATCCTCCTTGGACCTCTTTGGGATTGAATTCCTGTGCTTCTTAGTGAGCACACCAAGATGGTAAAACTGTAACCATTCTTTTTTTTTATTATTTAAAAAAATGTTTTATTTATTTTTGAGAGAAAAAATGAGCAGGGAAGGGGCAGAGAGAGAAGGAGACAGAGGATCTGAAGCAGGCTCCAAGCTGACAGCAGCAAGCCTGATGTGGGGCTTGAACTTACAAACCACAAGATCATGACCTCAGCCAAGGTCAGACACTCAACCGACTGGGCCATCTAGGTGCCCCACCATTCTTTCATTTGTGTCATCTTCTCAGAGCTGATTATATGGCTGGTAACCTTGAAAGATGAGGTAATGTCCTTTTGCTCATGAAAGATAAAGCTTACTTTCTGCTTACAAACAAGCTTAGTGTTCCTGAGTTGTGATTAAAAAACACTACCTGTGCAGAATCCATCTGGGTCTGCTGCATCACTGGCATAAACATGCTGGTGTTTTTGCTGTTTGTTGTGTCATGAGTAATAAAGTCTTTTGTCTCTAATGCAGAGGTCTCATGTCTTCTGTTGGCATCTATGAAATGGTAATAGGCTAACTCAGTTTTTAAATGGCATAAGATCAAACTTAACACCCAACAAAGACCTATACACTGAGAGATAGGAACATGGACCTAAATAAATGGAGAGATACACCATGCTCATGAACTGGAACACTGCATATTGTTAAGATACTATTTGCATTTATAGTATACTACATTGAAATACAACTACTTGTCATTAGAATGGCTACAGATGAAAAGAGTTGGAGGGATATGGAATAAGAATTCTAGTGGGAATATGAAATGCCACATCCATTTTGGAAAGGAGATTGGAAATTCCTTTAAAAAGTTAAACAGTTAAACATAACACCTACCATGTATACTTCTGAGATATTTACACAGTATATATGAGAGCATATATTCAAATGAGTTTTGTACACAGATGTCCATACAAACTTTGTTTGTAGTAACCACAGACTGGAAACAATGTATCTATCAGAAGGTGAAATTGCTAACCAAATTGTGGTAAATCCATACAGTAGAGATCTACTTAACAATAAGGTACTATGAATTCATACTACAATGTGGATGAATCTCAAAATAATTATGCTGACTGAAGAGATCCAATGAAAAGGAATACATGTAGGATTCCATTCATGTAAAGATTTCACAGAACTCTGTGTTCACCTCCAACATGTAAAGAGCTTGGAAGTTGAGAGTTCTGCTCTTATAATAAGTAAAAAAGATGGAGAAATTGGAAACATAACTTTTAATAGATCCATCTGAAAATTGAGGTCACAGGGTAAGCCATCACCTGGGAATCTGGAGAGAGCCTAATACAGACAAGGTTAGCTTAATGCCAGCAGAAGTTGCTGAAACTGGTAACCCATAGGAACACTTCCATTGTAATTTTGATGAACTACTGGAGGCTGACAGTTGACTGGCATGAGAGTTAAAAATTCTTGGGGGTTCAGTCTCAGGGATACCCATACTCTCATGGTATTTATCAATAAAAGCTCGACACCAGATTCTTACAGTAAAAATTTATTTATTTATTTTTTTAGTACTACATGTAATTTTATTTTATTTTATTTTTTTTTACAAATAGTTTATTGTCAAATTAGTTTCCACATAACACTCAGTGCTCATCCCCAAAGTGCCCTCCTCCATGCCCATCCCCCCCACCCCCCCACATCCATCAGTCCTCAGTTTTTGTCAGCTTTCAAGAGTCTCTCATGGTTTGCCTCTCTCCCTTTCCCCCACCATTTCCGCTCTTCTTCTCCCCCTTGTTCCTCCATCAAGTTCCTCCTAATCCTCCTATACGTGCAAACATATGATATTTGTCCTTCTCTGCCTGACTTATTTCGCTCAGCATAACACCCTCACGGTCCATCCATGTTGCCATGGCCAGATTTCATTGTTTCTCATTACCATGTAGTATTCCATGGTATAGATAAACCACATCTTCTTGATCCATTCTTCTGTTGATGGACACTTAGGCTCTTTCCATGTTTTAGCTATTGTTGAGAGTGCTGCTATGAACATTGGGGTACAAGTGCTCTTATGCATCAGCATTTCTGTATCCCTTGGGTAGATTCCTAGCAGTGCTATTGCTGGGTCATAGGGGAGTTCTATTGTTAGTTTCCTGAGGAACCTCCACACTGTTTTCCAGAGGGGCTGTACCAGTTTACATTCCCACCAACAGTGTAGGAGGGTACCCGTTTATCCACATCCTCGCCAGCATCTAGAGTTCTCTGATTTGCTCATTTTGGCCACTCTGACTGGTGTGAGGTGGTATCTCAGTGTGGTTTTGATTTGTATTTCCCTGATGAGGAGGGATGCTGAGCATCGTTTCATGTGTCTGTTGGCCATCTGGATGTCCTCTTTGGAGAAGTGTCTGTTCATACCTTCTGCCCATTTCTTCACTGGGTTGTTTGTTTTTCGGGCGTGTAGTTTGGTGAGTTCCTTATAGATTCTGGATATTAACCCTTTATCTGATATGTCATTTGCAACTATCTTTTCCCATTCCGTTGGTTGCCTATTAGTTTTCTGGGTTGTTTCCTTTGCTGTGCAGAAGCTTTTGATCTTGATGAGGTCCCAACAGTTTATTTTTGCTCTTGATTCCCTTGCTTTTGGGGATGTGTCAAGTAAGAAGTTGCTGCGGTGGAGGTCAAGGAGGTTGTTTCCTGCTTTCTCCTCTAGGGTGTTGATAGTTTCCTGTCTCACGTTCAGGTCCTTTATCCATTTTGAATTGATTTTTGTGCATGGTGTGAGAAAA